AAAAGCAATAATTATTTTTAGCTGTTAAATAAAACATGGAGTTTTTCTAGTATTTTCTTTGTCTGACAGTTCCAAAATCAAATGGGCACAGCAAGGGACCATGGGAAAACTACATATAAAATTTGAGACATATGCATCCCGTACTTAGGAAAAAACAACAAAGTTTCAATGTCAAAATCCAAGTCGGTCAACTTTCAGTGAAAATTTTGTTTTTCAAATGACTTTTTAAAACTGAACAGGTGCAACTAGGAACAGAGAGAAACCTAAATATGATATATAAGACAGATCCATTTAGTACATCTCAAGAAACAGTGATAACAATAATTCATTGTCAAAATTTATGATAGCAGCCTGCTGGCTATTTTGTTTTTCTGCTAAAACTCAAAATTGAGTGGGCACAAGTAAGGGTCAAGGGAAACCTATACATGAAATTTAGGACAGATCTATTCTGTACTTCCAAAGAAACAGTGATGACAAATCGCCTGTCCACTAATTTTTTGCTGATCAGTCCCAAAACCTAGAGTACAACTTGGGGCCAACAGAACTTATATATGAAATTTGGGAAAGAACCAGCCAAGACTTTTCCAGATATAACAATATCAAGTTATGATTATCAGCAACCAAGATGGCCACCTGTCAACCATGTTTTATTTTTTGACCAGTCTCAGAATGGTCTATGCACAACTAGGGACAAAGGTAGACCTACATAGAAGTAGAAACGATCCATCAAATACTTCTACTGAAACAGCAACAACAAACTATTGGTCTAAAAAAATATCGAAGACAGACACTGAAGGGCTGATTTTGTTTTTTTTAGATCAGTCCCAGAATGAGACAATGCACAACTAGGGACCAAAAGGAATCTACATATGAAGTTTGAAAAAAATCTATCCAGTACTTTTGAAGAAATAGGGATAACAAGAATTTTAAGGACGGACGGACGGATGTGGAATGACGGACCATGAATGCAGGACAAACAGCCCAAAATCAACCTTCAGACATTTTTCATATACATGTATCATACAAAGAGTATATTTCCTTAGAATTTTCATCCCTTCAGGACTTTTTTATATACACATAACACAGTAGAAATAACTACAATACAGACAAAATTCTGTGTAAATTTTCAAAGTGATCTGACTCTTTATCAAGACAAAAATTTTTTAAAAAAATCCACATGAATAATGAATACATGAGAAAAAATCAACAATTAAGTACGAGTATATTCCGTGTTCAAAACATTACCCCCATCAGCCAGATGCAGCTGAAGACTGTTAAGAAAGTCCAATCATCATGGTCTTTAGATAGGAAATAACAATCAGGGATAAAACCTCTGGGACAAAATGTGTTTTTGCATCTTTTCGTCCAGAAATTAAAAATGTATAAATTTGTTTATGTTACAACCAAAGGACTTAATAAGTAACCCTATTGGGCAGAGATTGACTCCAACACAATCCTGGCAGTATATAGTGGTTGTACAGTCTTCTGCTTTAAAAATTGCACACTTGGAAGAAATCACACAAATTTTTTTTTTGTTACAGCTCAAGAACTAAATCCCCTGGCAGAATCAGATAATGAAATCCATCCCCAGCAAATGTATACAAATGTATTCATCCATGTTATGGCTAAGCTCTCTATAGTTGAGTTCATAGGTTTCCATGTCAGGACTCTGTTGTTGATGGAGTCCAGCATGACGGCTAAGTTCATATCATCATTCAAATGTACAATTCTGAATCCTATAAAAACTGCCCTGTAAAGATATCTTTTGATAATAATAATAAAAACCCTGACAGCTGGGCAACAGAAGCTATTCTATGGCATTAAAACTTGCCTTTGGTTGTTCACATCAGATCAGCCAATTATATGTATGTTTTCAAATTTAAAAAAAACTATAAAAAAAAATTCCTGTAAAAACAGTAAAATTGCACAAACAACATCAAGTTGGAAAACGAAACCAATGACAAAGCTATACACAAACAATCAAATGATATTCTAACAAGGAATTATTATGACCCTTTTTAGGTCACAAGGATGAAATTTTCTCCTATTTTTTTTCAGATGGTATGCACCATCAAGACAGTTACAAATATACATAAGATAACTGGTTATACCTTTCTTCATCATGATGATATTTAATCCAATAATTCACAGAAAATTTCATTGACCTCCACTTATCACCGAAAGGACATTTGCTTAGTAATGTCGAAAGGTACAATGTTAATGATAGGGATGCAATGTTTACTTTTAGATAAGCTGTAGTTTATTGTCAGTAAGGCAGTAAAGATGTTTACAGGGAATCTCCAATAATTGTAAAATTGTTTTTCATGAACAAGTTTCTGACATACAAGTATAAAATTTTGTAAATTATGTAAGCATTATTCATAAATGAGAATGTACTGCATAAAATATCATTAATTTAGTTTACCGTAAATTTTCATTTCTTTCTTCTTTTTTTTGTTTTTTTTTTGGTGTACTGAACAACATATGTAAATACACTAAAATTACACCTATACAAAACTTAAATGTCAAGATTTTATTTCCATCAGGTTCAGCACAGGACATTCACAATTAACACATACTAAACATATGCAGTGTCAGGAAGATCGAGTCAAGAGTTTAAGATTACAAATCGGAGTGACCCCTGACAGTCACCTTAATCAATATATGGCATGGAATATAAGCAGCCATATTTGAAATTTGAAAAACCTTTGATGAAGTTTAGAAGAAATAGAGGTAACCAAAGACTAGCCACTAGACCAACCATGAGACAATGGTTAAACAAAAGGCCCAAAGGGCCTGTAGCACTCGCCTGGATCTTAAAGCCCAGCCATGGTGTACACATGCCTTTAGGTTGAGTATTTTAAATATTCCAAATTAAAGCAGTCACTTGACCCCTTTGACGGGGATAGGGAAAAAAACCAATGGGTAAATTCCCATATATCACGACTCTTTCTCTTCTGATACCCAATAAGAATTAATATGATTATCAGGTTGGTATATCAGCTATGTCGAAAATGTGACCCAGAATAATGTCCCTAGAGTCATTTCTTACATAACTAATGTCATTAAAAATCATATATATATATATGGGTGGGAATTTCAACTGTTTCAAAGATATAACCCAGAAATAAAGTCCAAAGGGTTGGGGCTACACCAATGGGCCAATTCTTACATCGTGATTGTGTTTATCTCTTGATGCCTACCATTGTTATATATGGTTTAGGGGCAGGGATCTCAAGTGTTTCAAAGATATACCCTGGAAACTAAGTTCATGAGGAGAGGCACACCCCAGGGCCAATTTTTACACCATGATTGAGTTCATCTCTTGATGCATTGCAATGCTATATATGGTTATGAGGTGGGGTCTCTCTATTTCCCCTATTGGCTCCTCAGGGGGCAGAGACCGACCATTTACACTAAATTGATTCCCCTTTACCTAGATGCTTCAGACCAAATTTGGGCAAATTCCAATCATTCCTACAGGAGGAGTAGGACTGTAAAGCATTTGCTCCATTTCCCCAATTGGGCCATGCCCCTCATGCCCCATGGGACAGAGATTGATACAACATTGATTCCCTTTCATCCAACCATGCTTCAGAACAAATCTGCGTAAAATCAAATGATCTCTACAGGAGGATTAGGATTTTAAAGAAATTGCAAAATTTCACCTTTTGGCCCTGCTCTCCAAACCCTGGGGGGCCAGGACACACAATTTATACAATAAATGTTCCACTTCCCCTCAGGATGCATCTGACCAAATTTGGGCAAAATACATTGAGTCATTCATGACTAGAAGCATTCTGTAGAAAAAGTTCACAGACGACAGACGCTGTACACCGCGATATCCATGTAGCTCAATTAGTCCTTTGGGCCAGTAGAGCTAAAAACCGTTTGAAAAACCAAACAAATTTGATAATGGTGGGTAAAAAATTACCCTCAGTATCTATTTTGTTATTCTTTGAAATTACATCTTGGTCAACTTACACAGTTCCTCAGTCATTAATGTGAGAGACTATTCTATACACCAACACGTGCAAGTAAAACATCTCAATGTGGTACATAATCAATGCTTTCCTTTTTGATTAACTATAATGTAAATTTTGTATGAACTACAGTACTGCGACATCAAAGGCCAGTTGTTACTTATCTAAGACTTTTCAAATTTTTATGTATAAGTGAAACAATTTTGAACCACATGGCATGATAATGCTGAGCTGAACTATGTCAGAATGACAAGCAGCAAGTGTCGCGAAAATGAAATCACAATTGTGCATTGTCTCTCATTAAAACATTCATTTCATGGCAGAAAAGTGAAAAGTTAAAGTTCTGACCAAAGCGATTATCTATTGTCATACAAAAAAGAAATACAAAATATCCTCACCATACTGAACACATGGGCTGCCCTATATATGTATTCCTGTCTGTCCCCAGCAAAGACATCCTTTAACGAGTCTTAGAGTGGGGAAGAATGACCTGTTCCTATGACTTCTTTGCTAGGTGAGTTAACATTGATACAGTAGTGTGAGAATAATTTACACCTCACTATTGCTTCTTTCAATCGACACATTACTGTACCATGAATATGAATTTGTACATATTTGTACAACTTTCTGAGAATTCCCCACTTTTTTATTTTTAACTTCATATGCATCAATCTCCCAAGGAAAGGCATCCGTAGTCACTCTGATACAGTGATTAATGACAAACCTTGGAAAAGGACAAGGAAAACTTAGTCTTTCCTTTGCGTAATTACATTTGTAAGAATTTAAGGAGATATCTTATATCAATAGAAGTACATGCTACTGGACCGAGCGAGCAGTTAACATGTTGGTGATTTTATGACATTCAAAAATTAGCACTTAGTCTAGAAAAGCTTCATGATCCATACAAAGTTCCATCTGGATCTGGATTACCTTTCTTCTGCATTTTTACATTGTCAGAGAATCTAATACAACAAAAAATGTACAAAATTCTTTACATTAAGTGATAACATCTGGGCAATTGAGATTTTCATTCTGGACGAGTTCAAAAGGTCACTTGCCCAGGGTACAAGTCCTTTTAAAACATGTTCCCCTTCAAAACACAAGGTCATATTTCAACAAAATCATGGATTATCAAATAAAGACGCAATAGCTGTTTTCAACAGTAAAAAGTTCTACTCTCTTCGTGACCGCTTCCGATGGGTGGCCAGCTCAGAATCTGTGCTGCGTTTGCTGTGCTTGAAATGAACTTGAGACTGTGCTGTCAATTGAAGCTTTATTGCACTAGCATTCAGTTTTGCAGAAGAAAAAATCTTTTTCAGTCCTTTCATTTTTTCACTGCGCAGACACACCAATGTAGGTGGTCCAAGCAGATGGGAGGGTACTGAGGATGTCCTAGGAGGTGTTGTACTAACTTGTGTTTGGGTTGGTGCTATTTCTGAGACAGGAGTGGGTGTCCGTGTTGCAGAGGAACATGGCCGCTTCCGAAACATGATCATGTCTGAAGGACTCTCTGCCTTTAGCACAGAGTCCATTGTCATACCCATGAAAGGTGAGCCATTTGACTTAGAGCTGAGGAAATCATGCATATCTATGCGTGAGTCAGCAGACGTAGTGGTTGAGGTTACCGTTGTGGTACTGGTAGCTGTAGTGAATGGATCGCCACCCCCCAGCAGATACTCGGGGTTTAGGATGGATTCACTGCATGCCTGAGCAAGTGCTGCAATATTCGGGTTAGTCGCATCATTCTGCCCTTCTTCTCCAACCTTGTTGACTAAATCCTCAATGGCCGATTTTATCTGATCTTCGTTCGATTCTCCTTTTATCTTAAGATCAGATACCTTGCTTTCAGGTCCATTATTGTTGATTTTGGATCGCCGTCCTTTTCTTCCAGGTCTGCGACTAATGACAGGTTCTGTGTCCTCAATGACTTTGTCCTCTCCTTCCTCCCCTCGTCGACCATTCACTTCCTCCTCTATTTCCTCCTCCTCACTTGAGGAAGAATCCTCCTCAAGCCCTTCACCTTTGACCTCAATGTGCTCCCGGACACTGACATCAAACTTGGACAGTGAAAATACCAGTTGTTTGGCCCAAGTGATGTGCAACACTGGTGTTGGGCTGCCTTCTTCCCACTCACAGATACCATCATAAAACCGTAAGAAGTTGGCATAACAGTCGGGGTCATACAACAACGATGTGTGATGAATTCGAGCTGCATTGTCACTGGCAACAATTTTCATCATGTGTGGAATGAGGTCATTGGCAATTTCCAGGAATTCTTTATAGATCTCCTCATCTTCACGATTGTAGTTGTAACTGTAAAGGGAGGAAATATAAAAAGTTAGAAACATTTACTGTAACTGGCAAAGAGGGAACATACGAAGTTAGAAACATTTACTGTAACTGGCAAAGAGGGGACATACAAAGTTAGAAACACTTACTGTAACTGGAAAAGAGGGAACATACAAAGTTAGAAACACTTACTGTAACTGGCAAAGAGGGGACATACAAAGTTAGAAACACTTACTGTAACTGGCAAAGAGGGAACATACAAAGTTAGAAACATTTACTGTAACTGGCAAAGAGGGAACATACAAAGTTAGAAACATTTACTGTAACTGGCAAAGAGGGGACATACAAAGTTAGAAACATTTACTGTAACTGGCAAAGAGGGGACATACAAAGTTAGAAATATTTACTGTAACTGGAAAAGAGGGCACATAGAAAGTTAGAAACACTTACTGTAACTGGAAAAGGAAGATACAAAGGAGTGATATATACAAAGTTAACAGCAACACAGCATCAAAATCAAGACTGCATAACAAGGGACCAATGGAACCTTATTATATAAAGTGAGAAAGATCCATATCAGTACTTCTCTAAAAAATTGCAATAACAACATTTCATGGTTAAAACCTAAGATGGCCACCTGCCAGCCATTGTTTTTCTGATCACTCCTAAAATCAAAAGTACATTAATAGACACCAAGAAGCACCTACATAATGAACTTCGAGAAAGATTAATCCTTACTTTGAAGAAAATATTGCTTTCATTGTCAAATAAACTGAAGATGGTTATGTGTCTGCTATTTTGCTTTTCTGATCAAAAATCAAGAGGGCACAATAGATTGAAGGGAACCTCCATATGGACTTGGGAATGATCCAATACTTCCCCAGAAACACTGATAACAAGAATTATCAACTGACAGACAATGGATCGTGGATGTAAAATGTTCTGAAAACCCCACCGTCTGACAATGTATCAAAACTAGACCAATGTTCAGGAAGGGCCATGCCTATACGCGATCACACAGAAAGTTTTGCCTATGCTTGAATATTGTTTTGAAAAAATTCATCTTGTTGGTTTAAACTACAAAGCTGAATATCATATCAACAAAAATGACCACTTTCAACGACAAAAATGACCACTTTCAACTTGAAACAAATTAAACACAACATAAATACTACATATGTTGGATGACTTGGGAATGAATAATATCTTGTAGCCAAAAATGACCAATATGGGAACCACTATGGTGAGTTAAAGCAGAACCCATATAAGCTGTCATGTATAAGAGACAACACGCAAATTCATTGTTATTGTGCAGAGTAGCATAAAATTGGTGTTCAAAGGCCCATAACTCATGTAGATATAAACAGATTCCAATGGTTATCAAATTGATGTGATGTCTAGTGTACATAAACCCACATACCAAATTCAGTGAAGATCCAAATGCAAATTCACAGTACGCAGAAAAATTATATATGTTCGGCATTTGAAGTCCAACAGATCTTGTAAATATTGCTGGATGACATAGTGAGGACTAATTGATATGAACCCACATATGAAATCTGGAGAACATCCGACTACAGATACTCAAGATATTGTGCAGAATGTAATAAAATTATCAATTTTCAGCAAAGTCCCAAAACTCTTGCAAATTTTCATGCATTTTCCTGATTAGCAAACCCATGCAGAATGAAACAATATACCAAATTTAGATAACATTGGATTACAAACACACCAGTTATCACATAGAAAGAAACAAGAGGCACACAAGTCTCAACAATCATCTGACTATAAAGACCTATATGAAAGAAGCCAAAAATATTGACCCAAGTAACCTTTAAAGTATGTCAAGGTCACTCATTTTAACAAACTTGGTAGCCCTTCATCCCAGCATCAAACATACCTAAAATCAGCAACTTGTCCCTTAAAGTTATGGAGAAGACATTGTTTAAAGATTTTGACATATTAGATACCTGTGACCTTAAGAGTGGGTCACATTCAACAATATGAACAAACTTTGTAGCCCTTCCTGCCAGCATGCTAAAGGCCTAATATCCACACCCTGACCAAGTTATTGAGAAGAAGTTGTTTAAAGCACATTTGGCCCCTGTGACCTTGAAAATGGATCAAGGTAATTCATTTTAACAAACTTGGTAGCCCTCCGTCCCAGCATCATACAGGCTCAATATCAGCACGTTGTGCCTTTTGGTTATTGAGAACTAGGTTTCAACACATTTGGCCCCTGTGACCTTGAAAGTTGATCAAGGACATTCATTTTAACAAACTTGGTAGCTCTCCAACCCAGCATACTAAAGGCCTAATATCAGCACCATAGGGCTTTTGTTTATTCAGAAGTCATTTGAATGGAAAATTTACCTTTGGTGGAGGGTAGATGGTGGACGTTGGACGATGGACGGCAGGCAGTGCACAACAACAGACATAATATGATGACTATAGGTCATAAAATGGTAAGTTGTCATCATTCAAAGTCCCATAACTCTTGCAAATATTGACAGATTTCACTGGTTATCACGCCCATGTGAGTTCTAATCAATATTAAACCATATACCAAATTTGGTGAGAATCTGACAAATACACAAGGTATTGTGCGAAAAACAAAAACTGCAGATAGGACGGACTGACAAGATAATTACTATAGGACAATTTAGTGTGAGAGGTAATGACTTCTAGAAACACATTAAGCACTATGATCCAAACCTCAGCATAGGTCATGGAGGCTTATTTTACTCTACCATATTTTCCACAGGGTTACACACTGCAGCTTTTATCCTTGGCGTATGTCAGGACATGCACTACTGACCTAGGTGACCTCGCACCCTCATAATTTTGGCTGTGGTAACATTTCATGCTTACAGAAAGAATAAAAAATAGTGGTTTAAACGAAGGATACCAGTACACCAGTATGAGACGTCAGTACTAAGTTTTTTTATGAATGCCTGTCAGTCACATGTTTCAAACTGAAAGGGATTGTCCAGAACCATTTGCAACCGTATACAGGAGGATTTTAAGATTTAAATGAAAGTAACATTCTCATTGATTTAATCAATCATCACTTTTAATATGAATCACAATAATATCCTCTGAACTTTCTTGGTTGCTGTGGAAAACATAGCGCCACACAAGGGCCTTCGCTAATATTGAACAGTAATTAATTCATTTGCAAACTTAAATATCTAATGTTTCATAGAAGATCTTGATAAATTGCCTTCCGTTGTCTGTTATATCATGACCTTTGGTCAACACAACCATTACTACAACATAACAAGAGGCCCCATGGGCCTTTACGGTCATCTGACATAAAATACAAGATTTCAAATTTTGAATTAATTTAATCTTGATTTAAAAATCAAGTCACTTAGCTACCACATTGAAAAGTTGGTCAAGGCATTTCAACAAACTTCGCAGACCTTCATTTCAGCATGGTACAAGCTAAATATCATTACCTTGAGCTTCCTGGTTATTCAGAAGATGTTTCCTTTAGGTTTTATACACATTTGACCCATGGGAGCTTGGAAAGGGGTCAAGAAAATTTAATTTAACAAACTTGGTAGCCCATCATCCCAGCATCCTACAGGTCAAATATCATTACCCTGGGTCTTCTGGTGAATGAGAATTTTTTTAATGGTTTGGTACATATATCACCGTGTGACTTAGGAAGTTGGTCAAAGTCATTCATTTTAAAAAACTTGGTAGTCCGTTGTTTTGGCATACTATAGGCCTAATATTAGTACGCTGGCCTTTCTGGTTATTCAGAAAAGTTTTTTAGAAGATGGTAAGACGTAAGACCCCTGTGACTTTGAAAATGGGTCAAGATCATTTATTTTAACAATGGAGGTTAGATCTAACAAGCCAAACCTAGAAAGTGGGTTGAGGTCATTCATTTGAACAAACTTGGTAGCCTCTCCTCCAAGCATCTTACAGGCCCAATATCAGCACTCATGGACTTTTGCTTGTTGAGAAGAAGTCGTTTGTATATTTTAACATATTTGACCCCTGTGACCTTGAAAGTGGGTTGAGGTCATTCATTTGAATAAACTTGGTAGCCTTTCCTCCCAGCATGCTACAGACCCAATATCGGCACTCATAGACTTTTGCTTATTGAGATGAAGTCCTTTGTATATTTTAACATATTTGACCCCTGTGACCTTGAAAGTGGGCCAAGGTCATTCATTTGAACAAACTTTGTAGGGCTCCATGCCAGCATGCTATGGGCCAAGTATTAGCCCCCTAGGCCTTCTAGTATTTGAGAAGAAGTTATTTAAAGATTTTGACATATTTGACCCCTGCGACCTTGAAAGTTGTTCAAGGTCATTCATTTAAATAAACTTGGTAGCCTTTCTTCCCAGCATGCTACAGACCCAATATCGGCACTCATAGACTTTTGCTTATTGAGATGAAGTCCTTTGTATATTTAAACATATTTGACCCCTGTGACCTTGAAAGTGGGCCAAGGTCATTCATTTGAACAAACTTTGTAGGGCTCCATGCCAGCATGCTATGGGCCAAGTATTAGCCCCCTAGGCCTTCTAGTATTTGAGAAGAAGTTATTTAAAGATTTTGACATATTTGACCCCTGTGACCTTGAAAGTTGATCAAGGTCATTCATTTAAACAAACTTGATAGCCCTTCATCCCAGCATGCCACAGGCACAATATCAGCAATCTGAGCCTTTTGGTTATTGAGAAGAAGTTGTTTAAAGATTTTAACATATTTGACCCCTGTGACCTTTAAAGTGGGTCAAGGTCATTCATTTGAACAAACTTGGTAGTCCTTCATCCCAGCATGCTACAGGCCTTATTTTAGTTGCCTGGGCCTTTTGATTACTGAGAAGAAGTCCTTTGAAGATTTAAAGACATTTGACCCCTGTGACCTTGAATGAAGGTCAAGGTCATTCATTTGAACAAACTTGGTAGGGTTTTATCAAAGCAAGCTACAGGCTAAATATTAGTTGCCTGGGCCCTCCAGTTATTGAGAAGAAGTCGTTTGAAGATTTTAAGACATTTGACCCCTGTGACCTTGAATGAAGGTCAAGGTCATTCTTTTTAACAAACTTGGTAGGGCTTCATCAAAGCAAGCTACAGGCCAAATATTAGTTGCCTGGGCCTTCCAATTATTGAGAAGAAGTCGTTTGAATGAAAAGTTTACGGACGGCGCACGGCGGACGGCGCACGGCGGACGACGACGGACGAAGCATGATGACTATAGGTCATCGGACCCTTCGGGTCTGATGACCTAAAAAAGGATGCGGCTTATATTCCGGTGTGTCTTACATATTGATTAAATCGTAAAAATCACTAAAAAAAAATCCTGTGTCTTATACTCGGATGTGGTTCATAGCCTGGAAAATACGGTTTATATATATCTATTGTGGATAGCTTTCATTACAGTAAGTATATTGATGATAATGTTACACAATAAAAGTATCTATTTGTTATGTAAAATACAAGGATATGTAGTCACTAAGTGATTTTTAAAGTTTTATAGGCCATAACTACTGAAACAAGTGTGATCAACTATCGCCAAGTCATTTTATAATGTTCAATTTCTAACCATTGCATCTGCTAAACAGATTGGCTGGGGGATAATTTCTTAGCAACTTCAAACTTCAAAGTGAAATTTGATGTATAAAAAAACAAAACAAAAACCATAAACAACTGTTAAGTGAGTTATGGTAAATAAAAAAAAACGATGTCCAATATATGGTAAATTCACAAGAAAATACACAAAAAATTCAGTATTACCATTACATCAATCTCAGACATGTGGTCACTGAGTGATCAGATATTCAAAACAGAATTGACAAAAGGTGTATATTTATAGATTCAGAGCCATTGGAATGTCTAATGGATGAAGAATGGCTGGATGATGAATACTGAAAATTGTCTTAAGTTACTTGCTCTAAATAAAGGCAAGCCTGGACCATATAAGTAAACAAACATTTTCCAGACCATATAAGTAAACAAACATTTTCCAGACCATACAAATAAAAAACATTTTCCAGACCATATAAGTAAACAAACATTTTCCAGACCATATAAGTAAACAAACATTTTCCAGACCATATAAGTAAACAAACATTTTCCAGACCATATAAACAAATAAACATTTTCCAGACCATATAAGTAAACAAACATTTTCCAGACCATATAAATAAATAAACATTTTCCAGACCATATAAGTAAACAAACATTTTCCAAACAATACTTGTTCTTACTTTCGGACTGCATCAGCAGCATCTGCCCAGGCCTGGAGTGCTCTCTTATGGTGGCCTTTGCGATACAGGAACCCTCCTAAGTATGTGTAGGGATATACATGTTGATTGTTGTAATGTTCCTGTGATGACTGTATTGCCTCATTAAACAAGGCCATAGGTGGTGGTCGCTCAGGGGTCGGTGATATCTCTTCCAGATCACCAAGGTTACCAAGAGCCATTGGGTATCTATGTTAAAAACATTAATATCAAAACCTTATACTATATGAAAAAATTCTGATATTTTAATAGTTTAATAGGACTGTCTTTTGTAAACACAGATATTTATGGATTTCAGGAACAGAAAAAAACACTAAGGTAGTAAGAATCCCTATAATTTAAAAACTTCACAGTTTAAAATGAATTCTAAGTTTCTGAAAATTTCTGATGATTCTTGCAATACAAAATGATGGAATGTATTTATAAAATTTTGAGTATAAATCCTGGAGAGATCTGAAATAAATTGCTCAACTACACTACCCCACCATTGATACAAAACTGATTTTTCCTTCACCCAAGCATGCTTCAGACCAAATTTGGACAATATACTGCAGTTTTTAAAGAACAAAAAAGATTTTAAAGAATTTGATAGATTTTTCATATTGGTCACACTGGTTCCTCTTTCCCTAAGGATGTTTCAGACCAGAACAGTTGTAATAGATAGTAAAGGTTGACAGACGAAAGGCGATGGATCACTGTGGTATCCATATAGCTCCATTCAGGAGTAGTCATAATAAAAAATCAATGGATGGACAGACGAACAGATGGACACCTAATTACAGCCATCATAGGTCTGCTGGTCTTTGCTTTCAAAACATTTTAAAATTTGAATTGTATTCCAGTGTCAAGTATTACTTAATACACATTCTATATTATTTTAATTTGGGTTTAAAATACAGATTCTGTTTCAGCTATGCTAATGTTTTGACTGTGATGGTAACCTGGCTACTCGGAGCAGCTCTACCTTTAACCACCTTTAGCTTATTAACTCCATACCTTGATAAATGGTCCATATCATACAGCAGCCAAAGCAGCTCCTGCAATACAAATTGTGAACTTCACAATATGACTTACATATAAAATAAGTACATTACAGACAATTAAATGTTCAAATGTTGAAAACTTTGTCATCTTTAAGAATGTAATTGCATTTATTATGAATGTCAAGTTAAATTAATACTAATAATAGAGATTCGAAATCCTCTTCTCCCTCTTATCAGGTTAGCAGATATTTGGTTAGATTGGGCGACATAGTTATTCCTGCTATAACTGTGTTTGTTTCCTTATTTCCAGCCAGCAGGTATACAGTTAATGGACCTGTTTTATTTTATGATTGTAAAATGCTCTTGTTGAATTGGCCAGAGCCGTTACAGAAATTGGCCAGTGACAATACTGATATGTGTAGCAGATGAAATATCTTGAAACATCATTCCTTGTTGTGAATATAATCAACTACATATAAAATAATCAAATCGGTCGCTAAATTGTCAATTCCTTATTTTGTATTGGTGATATGTCACATACCTGTTGAAGTGAGCCCATTTCTAGACTGTCGACAGTGGCACTGATAGATGGGTTGATGCCACTTACAATGGAGGCTACCTCCATCTGGCGTGTACAGAGGACAGGCTGACCATTGAGATAGAGCCAGCTTTTCTCAGACACTCCCATGGTGATGGGTTGTCCTCGTTTGTCTTCATTGCCTTTCCCTATCATTCAGAGAAAGCCATGTTGAAAATAAATCCTTTGCCAAATCTATTCAAAATTTTTCATTAACCATACTAATTTGTGATTGTAAAAACAAGATATCCCAGAAGGATCTTGACGTCCACATTAAGGGGAGTTAGGAACCAATGCCCCCTCTACATCAAATTTGATAATCCTACATGAAAAGTGGCTAAGGTAAGAAATATGCTGAAAAAAATTTGTTTTTCTTTAGAAAGGGCCAAAGGTCATGTTAAAGGTCGTAGTGACCTTGGTATATCACACAGCACTCTATCTGCATGAGATGTTCCAATGAGGAAGTCTAGTGATCCAATATAAAACAGGATTGAAGATATGCTTAAAACATGTTTTTTTTCTTTTAACAGGGTCAGAGGTCAAAATATAGGTCACAGTGACTTCGTTTATATACACAACATTCCCTCTAACCAGTATATTCCTATATACAGTTGTAGCTTGTACGATGACCCTACATGAAATAGAGTTAGAGATATGCTCATATAACAACACTTTCGTTTAAAGCAAGGTCAAAGGTCACAATGACCTTGTTATGTAATATAAATCACCTTCTGCCCCAGATAATTCTAGATAACAGGTTTGGTAATTCCACATGAAACAGGGTAGGAAATATAATTAGAACAAGGTTTTTTTAAGAACAGGGTCGAAGATTAAATTAGGTCATAATGACCTCCATTTCAAACGATAAATTTCCAGGATGTACCAACTGACTAAGTTTGATGATCATATATGAAATAGAAAAGCATATGTGTTTTTAAAAAGTACACTATTAATACATAGAACAAAAACACATGGATGCCATGGTGCACGTTTCTGAGCTATCTCTGGTAACCTTATTGTTTACTACTTCATAATGAAGAGCTCAACAAAGTTGATCTTGAACATTTAGTCTAGCTCGGGTATAACATCAAAAATAGCTCCGCAAACTCCCTTTCGGGCTGTGGGGTAAAAATGTTGAGATGAAGCAACAGTATCACATTATTATCATCAGAATGTCTTTACCTTCTAAAACTGTGTATGCTTGCATGCCAACATAAGGATGCTCCTGACAAAATTTAGTCAAATACCTTTATACAAACTGAAGAAGAAAAATTTACACCTGTTTCCCTTATATCTGCCTACTGCTACCTGCCTCAGATGGTAGGTGTGATGCTGATTTTCAGTTTAGTCTTCACTACTTCATTTTGTTGCCAGTGGTAAAAATAGGACAACTGTGGAAAGGCAATTTAACTGGTACCTCATGATCAAGCTATTAAAGTTTGGAAAGTCCTTTCCCCCCCCACTTTTCCCCTAAAATTCCAACACTCGCCCAACACCACCTGCATATTACATGAGTGTGCACAATAGGCAGTTTATTTACTGTAGTAGTAACACCTTTATTGATACCCACCGTGCCATGTAACCTCTGCAGTCTCTGATAGATCTTGCCCAAATGTGACCCAGGCATGGTCCTCCGACAGGGCAAGGTGGACATCTTTGTAGCCGAGGACTTGAAATGCAGCTACCACACCAAATGCCACACCAAAGCAGTCAAGCTTATTACCTGATAAAGGACAATTCCATTATTTTTACACTCAGTATCTACAGAATACACTGATAATGTTAATTGTTCCATGGGATTTATGGTTTTAATGAAAATGTGTCAAATCAACTCCATGTACTATATTTTGTAATGGTGCAGGAGCCAAGGTAAAATAAAAGGATTTATCCTACAACTGGCACTGCCATTGTCAGAATACACCTCCTCATACATTTTTGCTGGATTCGACTGTATTTTAGCATGTGCGTTAATTCAATATAATTGCTTTCTGAAATTACTTACACATTACGTATAACAATGAAAATAACTGTTCAAATAAGTGATTTTTTATGTTGTAATGGACAAGGTTATTTACAAAAAGTCATAAAATCGCTGTCATTTTCATTCAAGTTTGGAACTATATTTTCTGCATGTAGCAATGATTTTGGTGTTATCAGGTAAAATTCAGCATGATGTCAACAACAGCTAAACAAATATTGAACAGCAAAACCGCTGAAAGTTTAATTATCTGATTTTCAATCAATGTTGCAGGAGAGACAGAATACATGGTAAGTGCTGTCTGAAAATATAACCAGGATTTTGGCTCAGGACAGAAAAACAAAGGTTGCTTGCCAGAAGTTCACAACTTTCATTTTTTTCCAAACTCGCCAAAATACCATTCCATACCTAAAAAAGGTATACCAACATATAATTATGCTGCTTTTAGCCCTTGGCTGCATGTAAGTGCCTCTGGATGCCTCAGCGCAATCTCAATGTAAGCGACTCTGGACGCCTCCGCGCAATCTCAATGTAAGCCACTCTGGACTCCTCTGCGCAATCTCTATGTAAGCGACTCTAGACGCCTCTACACGATCTCCATGCAAGCGAATCTGGACGCCATTTTGCATACTGATTTTCTTATTTGCATATCACATGATTTGACAGCGCCCCTACACCGATACGTCACAATCCAAATAAAGAATAACCCAGTTTTTCAACCAATCAAAAATCGGCACATGTTTACTATACAAAGTTTTGAATAATTAACCCGAAAAGTTGTAGTGCGGTGTAGTACACACGTGTCACTAACTTGCCGCCAACATGGCTTTGGTGGCCGATGTTATCAGGGATATTTTTGAAGATGATGATGATGACAACCAGTTTGAAGGATTTGAACCTCATCATATTGAGTCAGACATTGATTTGCAAGAAATATTGTAAGATTTATCAGAAAATGAAAGTGATGAGACCAAAAGCAGTGACGATGATGTACGGCCTCGAGCTCGCGTACTTCCTCCATTACCCGGCGATGGAGAGTGAACTGCAGACTTAACGGACATAAATGTTGAGAAGTTTGAGAGAGAATTGGGACCAAAACCTCCAGTCGATTTTGAGGTAAATACTGCAAATCCGCTTGATTATCTGAACCTTTTTCTCCATGATGATCAGTACGCCAACATCGCTATACACACAAACAATTACACTCGCTGTTGATAGGGATTCAATATATGCCAGAAACACATATGTACTGGTCGACTGACAACTTTTTGGGTAATGTTGGTGTGAAAAACATCATGTCATGTAACAGATTCCAGAAACTTAAACAATATTTCCATGTTTCGGAAAGACAAAGTGAACCACCAAGAGGTGATCCAAAATATGACAAACTATACAAAATTAGAGAGACAATTGACCACACAACCAAGACATTTCTGGAGAACTGCCAACATTCTCAGATCATTTCAATTGATGAGGCAATGGTAAAGTATACAGGCAGACTCTCATTTAGACAATATATGCCTGCCAAGCCCATCAAAAGGGGTATCAAAATATGGTGCGCTGTGATGCTGAGAGTTCCTATATGTCTAGGTTCAACATTTACCTTGGTAAAAATGAAGGTGGTGTTGAGCATGGTTTAAATTTCAATGTGGTGACTTCACTCTGTGATGATCTTCATGGTAGCAACCACCATATTTACTTTGATAACTTTTTTACAAGTGTAAAACTGATTGAAGATTTATATGACAATGGCTTATATCAAACCGAAAAGGGTTCCCGAAAGATTTTGTTAAACCTGGAAAAATGAACAGGGGAGATTACAAAACACTTCAGAAGCGGAATTCAAATCTTACAGCCACTTTGTGGAAAGACAAAAAACCAGTTTACCATTTATCAACATTTAGAGACCCTAAGAAGGAAATGAGGGCAAATCGCAGGATGGATGCTCATGTTCTTGACTTACCGCAACCTATGTCAGTGTACACTTATAACAAGTATATGGGTGGGGTAGATTGTCATGATCAGCTTAGGATGGCCTATGACGTTGGGAGAGGTGGTGGCGCTACATCTTTTGGTTTTTGGTGAATTGTGCCATTGTCAACTCCTTCATTGTGTACAAAATTGCATCCCAGAGACAGAGGAAGAGATTCGTCACCTTGATTACAGAGTAGAATTAGTCAGAGCATTAGTTGGTGGGTATTCATCACGGAAACATGGATCTTGGGAAATGAACAATCCAGAGGTTCAACAGGAAAACATCATGGGGAACGTAAATGCTCGTCTGCCTGGTGGAAAGCGCAGATGTCGCTATCACCTCGCAGTCCAAAATATTAGGAGGGAAACTGTGAAAGGCTGTTCTATTTGGGGTGTGCAGCTGTGCAAAGGTGACTGTCACAGACGGTTTCACCAGTAAACATTACTGGTCATAGGACAAACACAAGTGACAAGATATACTGTAAGCTAATAAACAACAAAGGAAATAATGTACACGACAATAGTTGTTTCCTACAAAAAATGAGTCATATCAGATTAAATGAGATTTTTTAAGTAAAATTGTGAATGAACTTTGCTGAAAGTTACACCATATTAAAATCTTATTTATTCTCAACAAACTTTATTACCACACATATTGCCAAAAATATACACATCAGCTTCAAATATCCAGTTTAAAACAGCATACTGAATTACAGTTAAATTCTACAAAAACTGTCATTGCATGGTGCAGTCAAATGGCAAATTCTGCAACAATGTTGGTTACAAACATTGTATTTTTTCTCATTGGAGCTGAGTGCAGCAATACACAGTCTTGCATGTGGCAAAGGGTTAGTACATACTTCTTGTACTTTTGAAATGTAGCAAAAAATAATACTTTTTTGTACTTTTCAAAGCATGCCACAATGACTGGAATACTTTTTTTTTTTTTTTTTTACTAAATTTGAACTCTGAAATTTTCCAATGTACTTTTTTCCAACTTCTCTGGACCTTGAAATTGTTCAGAGTACTTATTTAGTACTAAAATCTAACTTTCTCAATTTTCAAAGTACTATTTTGTACCTAATTCTAATGTATAGATTTCAGAACAGTGCTCATAACTATAGAAGTTTTTTCCCCTACTTTTGTAGGTTTTAGAATTTTTTAACTGAATTTCGGTATGGAGGTGCACTTTTGTAGGTTTTAGAATTTTTTTTACTAGACTTTTGTAGGTTTAGAATTTTTTTCACTGAATTTCGGTATGGAGGTGTACTTTTGTAGGTTTTAGAATTTTTTTTACTGAATTTCGGTATGGAGGTGTACTTTTGTAGGTTTAGAATTTTTTTCACTGAATTTCGGTATGGAGGTGTACTTTTGTAGGTTTTAGAATTTTTTTACTGAATTTCGGTATGGAGGTGTACTTTTGTACATTGGATAATTTTCAGAAGCACTGATCTAGTACATAAATATTATCATAAAAGTACAAAAAATAATATAAAGTACTAAAAAAGCACATCAGACCAACATGAGGATACTTATTTTGTTTTTATATATACTATGTTATACTATGTTATGTATACTATGTTATATATACTATGTTATACTATGTTATATATACAATGTTATATATACTGTGTATATACTATGTTATATATACTATGTTATATATACTATGTTATATATACTATGTTATATATACTATGTTATACTATGTTATATATACTATGTTATATATACTATGTTATACTATGTTATATATACTATGTTATATACTATGTTATATATACTATGTTATATATACTATGTTATATACTATGTTATATATACTATGTTATATATACTATGTTTACATGTTATATATAAATGTTATATACACTATGTTATACTATGTTATATATACTATGTTATATAAAATGTTATATATACTGTGTTATATATACTATGTTATATATACTAAAAAGCATAGTAATTTATCTGTACTTTTACAACAATATCCAAAAAGTATGCAAAAGGTATAAAAATGTGTCACAAAAAGTGTATAAATATGTCACAAAAAGTATATACATATGTCACAGAAAGTATATAGATATGTCACAAAAAGTATATAAATGTCACAAAAGGTATATACATATGTCACAAAACGTATATACATATGTCACAAAAAGTATATAAATATGTCACAAAAAGTATATACATGTCACAAAAAGTATATGAATGTCACAAAAAGTATATACACATGTCACAGAAAGTATATACATGTCACAGAAAGTATATATATGTCACAAAAAGTATGTACATATGTCACAGAAAGTACATAAATATGTCACAAAAAGTATATACATATGTCACAAAACGTATATACATAAATATGTCACAAAAAGTATATACATATGTCAAAAAAAGTATATACATATGTCATAAAAAGTATATAAATATGTCACAAAAAGTATATATAGTATAAGTTTTATGTCACAAAAAGTATGTACATATGTCACAAAAAGTATATAAATGTCACAAAAAGTATATAATATGTCACAAAAAGTATATAAATATGTCACAAAAAGTATATAATATGTCACAGAAAGTATATACATATGTCACAAAAAGTATATACATATGTCACAAAAAGTATATACATATGTCACAGAAAGTATATAAATGTCACAAAAAGTATATACATATGTCACAAAAAGTATATACATATGTCACAAAATGTATATAAATGTCACAAAAGGTATGTACATATGTCACAAAAAGTATATAAATGTCACAAAAAGTATATACATATGTCACAAAAAGTATATAAATGTCACAAAAAGTATGTACATATGTCACAAAAAGTATATAAATGTCACAAAAAGTATATAAATGTCACAAAAAGTATATACATATGTCACAAAAAGTATATAAATGTCACAAAAAGTATGTACATATGTCACAAAAAGTATATAAATGTCACAAAAAGTATATACATATGTCACAAAAAGTATATAAATGTCACAAAAAGTATATAAATGTCACAAAAAGTATATAAATGTCACAAAAAGTATATACAATGTCACAAAAAGAGTATATAAATGTCACAAAAAGTATGTACATATGTCACAAAAGTATATATATGTCACAAAAAGTATGTACATATGTCACAAAAAGTATATAAATGTCACAAAAAGTATATACATATGTCACAAAAAGTATATAAATGTCACAAAAAGTATATACATATGTCACAAAAAGTATATAAATGTCACAAAAAGTATATAAATGTCACAAAAAGTATGTACATATGTCACAAAAAGTATATACATATGTCACAAAAAGTATATACATATGTCACAAAAAGTATATACATATGTCACAAAAAGTATATAAATGTCACAAAAGGTATATAAATATGTCACAGAAAGTATGTACATATGTCACAAAAAGTATATACATATGTCAAAAAAAGTATATACATATGTCACAAAATGTATATAGATGTCACAAAAAGTATGTACATATGTCACAAAAAGTATATACATATGTCACAAAATGTATATAAATGTCACAAAAGTATATACATATGTCACAAAAAGTATATACATATGTCACAAAATGTATATAAATGTCACAAAAAGTATGTACATATGTCACAAAAAGTATATAAATGTCACAAAAAGTATGTACATATGTCACAAAAAGTATATACATATGTCACAAAAAGTATATACATATGTCACAAAAAGTATATAAATGTCACAAAACGTATATACATATGTCACAAAAAGTATAGAAATGTCACAAAAAGTATATACATATGTCACAAAAAGTATATAAATGTCACAAAAAGTATATACATATGTCACAAAAAGTATGTACATATGTCACAAAAAGTATATACATATGTCACAAAAAGTATATACATATGTCACAAAAAGTATATACATATGTCACAAAAAGTATATAAATGTCACAAAACGTATATACATATGTCACAAAAAGTATATAAATATGTCACAAAAAGTATGTACATATGTCACAAAAAGTATATACATATGTCACAAGTTCTTTTAAAGGTCCAAAAAAGTATGAAATTAAACCAGCTTTTAATGACTTGTGCTCATGTAAGACAGGTAATAAAAGAACACTATTTTAGTATTTTATTTGTACTTTTATGTGATCCAAAAAGTATTTAAAAAAGCATAAAAGTTTTCGGAGAAGTACTCAAAAAGTACACAAATACATCATAAAAAGTACACTTGAAGGCCTCAAAAAATACAAGTTTTACCATTTTTTTTTCTCTTTAAAATGCAGCTTTGCTCTTTTAGCATTGCAACTTTAATAAAAACGCATTTCAAAAATCTATAAAAAAATAAAGTTATATAATGCCAACACTGAAGCTCTCAAATCAAGAGATTTCAAGGGTGACAATATGGCCCTTAATCTGCTACATATGAATTTTTAATGTATAAGATTTTTAATGATTTTTGTAATGAAAAATAATTATCTCAAATAAACAAATGTTGCAAAGATAAATTATTTCAAGATAAAGGTGTATAATAATCCTGGTTGAAGATTACATTATTTTGATGCCAATTTTCAATCAACTGATGAAAATTTAATCACACATATATGAAATTAATTTTCATTTTTGTTGTCCTTGCTTGTCTCAGCCTGTTGTACATGAGATCATGACAGTGAGTTGTACATCTTGATCAAGGAGCTCTAAGTGTGGACTCACATCAAAGAAATTGGCATTCACCTTGTGTGACAAACGGGAAACAAGAGAAGTTTTAAATTTCTCAAAAATAGCTCTGAACATCTGTTTTGGTTGTCATATAGGCCTGTCTGAATAAATGTTGTGACCAACAAGTGACCCTGAAATTTCAAGTAATTTGATGGTATATTTCTCAAAACCATGATAAGCCTTCAATTGATTATGATTATTTATGTTATGGTTCTTGAATTTGTTGTAAAATTGTATACTTTCTGTAAAAACTTCCAATATGAAACCAATATTGGATGTTCCCTGCAGTAAAACTAACACTGTACTGTGATTCACTGATTGGCCAATGTACCTGATGACCTAGTTTCTCTTGTTTGTAAACAACCTTTCTCAGTATACAGCAGTGTTGATACAAATAGCCAATAAGGCCAATTCTTCAGATACAAATATTTTCAATTCTAAAACATCAAAAAAATAAATAACAAAGTCATCTTATCAAAAAATAAACAAGAATTTTTAAATTTGAGTTTGAACACGTGCACTTTATTATTGTGTTGATGGTTTTGGAATCGACAGACATTTTTTTCAATTAATCTGAATATATCCACAGTCAAGATGAAAGCTGTCGATACACTGTTCTATTATAGACGCGCATGGCTCGGCTACGCGTAGTTTATCATAGCATAATTAGTAAAAAAATCGATAACCGAAGGCCGTGCGTCAATATGGCCGCTCGGCTTCTTCGGAGAACGGCGCCAGACGCACTGACCAGGGCATCATCTTCTACAGATTTCATTGTCAATATTGATTGACAACTGTTTATGATTTAACAGGACACCAGAGTAATAACAAAAGATTGAAATTAAACATTAAAAACAAACATCAAAACACGAATGAATCTATCATATGCACATTTATATCACATCTGTCGCAACTTACCCGTCAAAAAACTGTATAGCGACTGAAGGTGTGCTTTGTCTTTGTAAAAGCTCCTCATTAAAGAACTCCATATTACATCCGAGACTAGTTTCACTAACTCCCTTGTAGCAACATCACATGGAAATTTCGTGAGATCAACAGATCGTTTCACATGTGTCACAAATTTTTCGTACAGCGCTTCCACTGTCTCCAACTCAATCACCGGGAAAATTGGTTCCAGTGATTTCGAGTGATCAATCTCACCTGGCAACGACCTATTCACTGTCAAAACATTTTCGATCGCTCCAAGAACAATAGACAAAAGTGGCAAATTAGGTTCGTCACTGCCAGTCAACTGATCTCTAAATAAATCAACCACGTCCTGGATACTTTGAAGTGGGAAATGTTGTCTTTCGTTCTCTCGGAACCCCGCCATCTTGTGTTTCAGTTGCAATCAATTGAATTTAGCCTCTAAAACAGGATATTTCCTCATGTTTTTATATACGAATTGGTCGTGGGTCATATCATCACCAGTAATATTACCAATGATGAAGTCTTATGTCAGTTGTATAATGAAATAAGAGTGACAGTATCGGTTCTTTAAATGATAGGGAAAATTAAGAGAAACAGCTTGGAGGGTATTAAAAACCGAACATGGCGGACAGTGAAGTTGCTGCTGCACCACAGACAGAAAATAATTCAACGAACGGGGAAGTTGCCGATCAAAATGGACAGGTACTAAATCTAAACCAGAGTACAATGCCTTTTGAACATTGCTGTGTAATCTTGAGATCATCGGAGAGCTTAATAAGATGAGATATCCATAACGTCTAGCGGTGTTTCCCTTAACACACGTGACTAAGACAGAAATCTGTTTGCTCATATAGGCGAATGCGTCACAAGAGTGAATGCTGTTTCTATTAGGCCTTACACATGAATCAGATGCTTGATCATTGAGAAATAGGAAATGGCTTGGGTGAATCAGTTATATTGATTATTACTGGTCTATTTACTGTGTGTTTCATGGTCACAGTCACTGACTAATCTATTCGAGAAATGATAATGTCTATTTCGGTAAACAGACGCATTACGTGATATCGCATTATTTTAGAATAGTTAATTTATACAATTTATTCATATCACAATTCAGATTACCAGTAAATAGTTTGGTTTGTATTCTGACTTGGTTTATAACGAAATGTGTCATACACACTGTATGTAATGGAAGTTTCTCCGACCACCTTTTAATATATTATAGCAATTTTCTGAAATTAAAAAAAAGAGGCTAATAGCACTGTACAAAGAGGCAAATAGTACTATAAAATGAGACAAAAAATTGAAAAAGGCTAGTAGCACTGTAAAAATAAGTAGATCGTGATATAAAGATGAGACAGCAATACTTTTTAGCATAAGTTAGTAGACATACACAATGGTATCAATGAATTTCACAGTTTGATAGTAGTTTGTGCCATATACCTAAGGTATTTTTAATGAAATCCTTAAAAGGAAAAATAATTAAATCAGAAATGGATCTGTTAACATTTCTGCCCAAAACTAATTAATTTAATTACATGTCGTATGATTGTAAATTTATTCTGTTATAGAAATATTCAATAAGTATAATGGTACATATTTATGGTGATAAAGAGTAGTCACTACCGCAGTATAAGGTAATATTTGTTTGTATCCTCAGTAGTAGACAATAAAGTGATCGCTAGATTTTTTTTCTTTTGGCTTGGAACTCAAGGTGTTTCTTAACATTGGATTAGAATTTAGATTTTTTTTATAAAGATCTGGTATGAGAATTCCAATCTTTCGCTGTTGAAAACAGAAGAGTAGATATTTCTGTGCCTTCGATGCTTGCCAATTCTTATAATGAAATTTGAATATCTGGATCTGGTAACATATTTGTTGTTATTAATGGGGAAAAATCCATTTAAATGTCACGATTGAAAATTATCTTAATTTTTAAATTTTTGACAGGTTAAATGATAAACTACACCCCTGTAATATTAAATAATGCAATTTAAACTGAAAATGTTTGTTGATTTTATTGAGTATCTGATTTTACCAATCAGTCTAGGTTAATTGATGTCATTCACAACATTGTTGGGTTGTGCCAGTATTTAACCAAATTTGAAATGTTAGAGAGTTTAAATACTAAAATAATGATATATCTGTTTAGCCACAGGAACAAGCTCAAGCCCGTCCAGGATTCTTTGGTATTTTAAAGTCTTTGATAGTGAGAATGGTGTTCATCTACATGATCAGCAGCTTCTTCAGGCGACCCACAGCAACACCAGGGAAACCTGAGGATGGACAATCAGCTGTACCATACTCAGAAAATATTTACCCCAAGGATACAATAATGGTAAGTAGTCTAGTAACCGTATGACAGATAATGGCCTGAACTCAAACTTATTTCAACAGAAATGATTTATGCATTTTTACAATCCTTAATACTTCACTAATTACCACAAAAAAATCGACACATGAGAGTTTGTGTGAAATTCAGAATTTTCAACTCTAACTGTTACTCCCGCGAGAATAGCTATTGCAAGTTTTTGAAGTCATGAAAGCTTCAAACAATACATTGCAGCAGACTGAAAGTCCCAGCAGAGGTATTTGACTGTTACTTACAACAAAGACATGAAATTGCATCCTTTCAGACGAAGCTGTGCTCATTCTCATCAATTTGTTTTTTTGCAAATCACACAAGCTCCCATCAAAAACTGCAACGAAAAACATATTTTACCTAAACCTGTTGCCAAAAACTTATTTTTGCCATTAATGTGTAGAAAAATAAAGGTTTATAGCGATGCCCATCCAGGTGCAGTTGTTCAGAAGATGATTAGTTTCATAAGCAATTATTTCAAAATTCGATGTCTTTGCATCTCGAAAATAAGCCGATAATTCTAATTGAATCTTTGAATAAGACAACGTAACTATACCAAATCATGTGCGAAACATCATATATAAATTGTATATTTACAGCATTATCATCGTTTTGCGTTGCTAATCACTGATTAAGCTAATTATCTTTTAACAACTCACACCAGAAATAATTAAGTGTATCGCGTCTGGGGAGGTGATTAGAACATAAGTTTGAGTTTTATTGAAATTTGGTCGAATGAAAAATTTCAGATTAAGAAAGTAACTGCAAAATATCAACTGAGTAAAAACGAAAGATCGAAAAATTAATAAAAAACTAAAGACCGGAAAAAAAAATAACAAAAACAAAGCAAAATGGATTTATGCCGGCAAGCACCAACTTACCATAGATGTGTGCATTAGCCACCCTCCGGGCTTCCTTTCTAATAGGAATGGAAATGAAGCAAAATGAGGCCCAAATTCTAACACAAACACAGAAATAAGTAAGAAATCAGATGAATTAACAAATACAAAAGTAAAATTTAATACAAAAACAAAGCTCAGCAATGTTTTTTGCATTTTGCACATAATGTAAAGTATGTCCGTAATTTACACAATCTGCATGTATGGGCTTCCATACTTTTTTGATATGGCTGTAATTTCTCGTATGTAGTATATGTATATTCATTGTGTGTTTTCGACTAAATAATTGTATTTGAGGTACGACCATGTTTGTAAAAATGGTATTGTATTTGGTTTGATAATTAACACTGCTTATATAGACAAATTCCCTTTATAGACAGTGAAATTATACAAATGTATCTAGAACTACTCGTGTGATTGACATCAAAATAGACCTGTGACTACCTTTAAATTTTTTTTCAATAAAAACAGTTGGTCTTGCTATAATACGGTAAAAGATGCATCCTAGTTATGATCAGTTGTTTATAGCTATTATAGAATTTGTATTAAAAACACACTTTTTAAAGAGTTACTAATACTTCCCACGGCTAAAATCACTACTATACAGTGCGTCGTCTGCATTGAGATTATCGCCCTTGTGGAACTCTTTTTTAATACGGTGGCCCACACGTGCTGGAAAGATCAACGCGATTTCCAACGTTCAGCTACTTATTAATTATGAAGATTTCATCATTTTCCCCTTTGTCGATTTTTGTCGATTTTTTATATGTTGTTTATGGTTAGTTGATGTAACGTTTAGCATAGAAATTATTTCTGTTGCAATTAGTTTGGGGTTTATCATAGGGTGACTAGACTGAAGATCAATGGACCTTATATGGCGAGATAGGCAGCAATTTAAATACACTGCCCTCCGCAAAAGATAGGCAACAATTTATATACATAGTCGTCCTGGGAAAAAAAACAGAATTTCATTTGTTGATATATCAAAGCTCATGAGAAAATTGGAACTGTTGCAATTCCTTGAAAGTATTAATTCATTTGTGAGTAAGAATTGTAAATACTTTGGAAAATACTTTTTCTCCTTGAGGAAGCAGTGAGGGATGTATCTATTTAAAAAAATGTTTTTGAAAAAGATACAAAAAAAATTGAATATGCATCAAACTACTCTGATCAGAATGATCCTATCAAAAACTCATTTATTCGTTAAAAATGTTCTCAATGTGAAGAAATTGAAAAAAAGACCTGTAATATAATGAAAATGTGGCATTAAATAATATGTGTATTTTGTAACCCATATACTCTGTTGATGAAAAACTTATAATAGCAAGTTTGTGAAATTGAAATTTAAGTGCCATTTGTTATTGTCCTAAACCAAGGGCAAGGTTATCTTTTCCCATTGGCATCCACATCAGTGTAAATAATTTGTGTTAGCTCAGTGGCTTTCATAGGGTGTTCAACTCAACTTAGTACAAAATACAGATTTGAAATACTTTAGGTAGCTATATGCAGCAGGATATGGCAAGTCAGAATGAAGCTAAGCCTATACTTATGTATACTTATTGCAGACCTGTTTATAAATATGAAAGGCAGTACATATCTATATTAAATATCTATTTATTTTTTTTTTCTAGGACATGTATATATACCTATCCTTACAAGAAGAATTCACAGACTTTAACAAACCAGACAGTCTGTTCTGGCATCAAAAAGACCTGGTGTATGGGGACTGGACAAGTGGTGTTGATGGAGATGGTAGCTTTGTTAAGAGTGGACAAATACCTACTCCAGAGGTAGGTACAGTCAGAAATATACCCAAAACTGTTACTAACATAGTGACTGGTCACAATGGTTATTTTGTAGGTTTCTCATTGGCTATATGCTATTAGATGAAAATCATTGACTAACCAAATGCTCAAAAGATACATGAAGTATTGTGGTACTTCAACACATGCAAAGTGTAAACTGTCTTAAAACACGACTTAACACTTCAGCTTTTATCTGTAAGCTGACACCAACTCAATTTCCTGGTGGGATGGGCATTAGTGACACAAAGGACTTGTCTAACTAACAATGGTTCTGTGGAGTATGTTTGTTTCCTGTGGCTCTGGGAGCTATAGTGTTTAGTTTAGTTTAGTATGTACAGTATGTGTCACCTGTGGCTCTGGGAGCTATAGTGTTTAGTTTAGTTTAGTATGTACAGTATGTGTCACCTGTGGCTCTGGGAGCTATAGTGTTTAGTTTAGTATGTAGAGTATGTGTCACCTGTGGCTCTGGGAGCTATAGTGTTTAGTTTAGTATGTAGAGTATGTGTCACCTGTGGCTCTGGGAGCTATAGTGTTTAGTTTAGTTTAGTATGTACAGTATGTGTCACCTGTGGCTCTGGTAGCTATAGTGTTTAGTTTAGTATGTAGAGTATGTGTCACCTGTGGCTCTGGGAGCTATAGTGTTAAGTTAAGTATGTAGAGTATGTGTCACCTGTGGCTCTGGTAGCTATAGTGTTTAGTTTAGTATGTAGAGTATGTGTCACCTGTGGCTCTGGTAGCTATAGTTTGTATGTAGAGTATTGTCACCTGTTTGGGAGCTATAGTGTTAAGTTAAGTATGTAGAGTATGTGTCACCTGTGGCTCTGGTAGCTATAGTGTTTAGTTTAGTTTAGTATGTAAAGTATGTGTCACATGTGGCTCTGGGAGCTATAGTGTTAAGTTTAGTATGTAGAGTATGTGTCACCTGTGGCTCTGGTAGCTATAGTGTTTAGTTTAGTTTAGTATGTAGAGTATATGTCACCTGTGGCTCTGGGAGCTATAGTGTTAAGTTTAGTACGTACAGTGTGTGTCACCTGTGGCTCTGGGAGCTATAGTGTTCAGTTTAGTACGTACAGTGTGTGTCACCTGTGGCTCTGGGAGCTATAGTGTTAAGTTGAGTATGTAGAGTATGTGTCACCTGTGGCTCTGATAGCTATAGTGTTTAGTTTAGTTTAGTATGTAGAGTATGTGTCACCTGTGGCTCTGGGAGCTATAGTGTTCAGTTTTGTATGTACAGTGTGTGTCACCTGTGGCTCTGGGAGCTATAGTGTTAAGTAAGTGGTAAACTTTAACGACCTCTGTTTTAATTTGTTGCTGAGTTTGTGGTTAACCTTAACGACCTCTGTTTTAATTTGTTGCTGAGTTAGTGGTAAACTTTAACGACCTCTGTTTTAATTTGTCGCTGAGTTAGTGGTAAACTTTAACGACCTCTGTTTTAATTTGTTGCTGTTCACAGTTACAAATGCAGTAGTTTCAGTTACAACATAGACGCAGTTTATGGCCGACCCTTTGAATGTATAATGAGCTCAAACAACACTATATTTGATGAATAATTAGCTGATAAGCATTGACTTTGAGCTACGGCATTTGAAAAATAAACATGCCTACATCAGAAATGTAACTGGCTGTTTGTACCACACATACTGTACCCTGTTAGCATGTATTTCCTAGAATGTAGTCACAACGTAATGAATGGTCAACACTGAACCATATCATTATAATCCTCTGCACTCATCTTGCCAATGTTAAGGTGTTGGTCATTTGAAATGTCAAGGTTGAAAAGCAGTCATACTCTGAGAATCTACACTCACATGTTTGAGTACCACAACACTTGACACATATTTTACGAATGATGAACTAAGGTTATGATCTGACCTCTGAATGGAAAACAAAGTAAAAGATTACAGCTAGCTGGCAGCAAATTTATTCTTTTAGGTTTTATATTGATGTGATCTGCCATGTAATGTAATTAAATATAAACTGATACATTGCTAGCTAGTCAGGTGACTTCATGTTGAAAATGACAAGAGTGAAGGCTGAATAACGTCATTATTTTAACATATACTAGCATTGTAAACATAATCTGCCTTTCTCCAGAATAGTTCTGTATACCTGTGTAAACATTATAGTCTTAATAACAGTTGTCAAGCATTACAGGCCAATATGGCCTCTGGTTCAAATCAGCATGGCTGACACATATCACTTTGTTATATAGAATTTTTTTTCACATACAGAATATTTTACTTTCAGGTTGTTCAAAATAATGGATCAATATTTTTGCATGTGTATTTTGTCCGTGCTGGAAAATCGCCTAATCCTGCAGACAAGGCCCACTACTCCAGAAGAACAACCGTCTACAAATCAATGAGTATGTTCATCATCAATAAGATATCAAAGTCAAATATATAGTTAGGAGTAGGTACAGAAACCAGAAATACAAACCCATCTGCAGCCAGTCTGTGTTTACACTATATATAGTTAGGAGTCGGTACAGAAACCAGAATTACAAACCCATCTGCAGCCAGTCTGTGTTTACACTATATATAGTTAGGAGGAGTAGGTACAGAAACCAGAATTACAAACCCATCTGCAGCCAGTCTGTGTTTATACTATATATAGTTAGGAGTAGGTACAGAAACCAGAAATACAAACCCATCTGCAGCCAGTCTGTGTTTACACTATATATAGTTAGGAGTAGGTACAGAAACCAGAATTACAAACCCATCTGCAGCCAGTCTGTGTTTACACTATATATAGTTAGGAGTAGGTACAGAAACCAGAATTACAAACCCATCTGCAGCCAGTCTGTGTTTACACTATATATAGTTAGGAGTAGGTACAGAAACCAGAATTACAAACCCATCTGCAGCCAGTTTGTGTTTACACTATATATAGTTAGGAGTTGGTACAGAAACCAGAAATACAAACCCATCTGCAGCCAGTCTGTGTTTACACTATATATAGTTAGGAGTGGGTACAGAAACCAGAATTACAAACCCATCTGCAGCCAGTCTGTGTTTACACTATATATAGTTAGGAGTAGGTACAGAAACCAGAAATACAAACCCATCTGCAGCCAGTCTGTGTTTACACTATATATAGTTAGGAGTAGGTACGGAAACCAGAATTACAAACCCATCTGCAGCCAGTCTGTGTTTACACTATATATAGTAAGGAGTAGGTACAGAAACCAGAATTACAAACCCATCTGCAGCCAGTCTGTGTTTATACTATATATAGTTAGGAGTAGGTACAGAAACCAGAAATACAAACCCATCTGCAGCCAGTCTGTGTTTACACTATATATAGTTAGGAGTAGGTACAGAAACCAGAATTACAAACCCATCTGCAGCCAGTCTGTGTTTATACTATATATAGTTAGGAGTAGGTACAGAAACCAGAAATACAAACCCATCTGCAGCCAGTCTGTGTTTACACTATATATAGTTAGGAGTAGGTACAGAAACCAGAATTACAAACCCATCTGCAGCCAGTCTGTGTTTACACTATATATAGTTAGGAGTAGGTACAGAAACCAGAATTACAAACCCATCTGCAGCCAGTCTGTGTTTACACTATATATAGTTAGGAGTAGGTACAGAAACCAGAATTACAAACCCATCTGCAGCCAGTCTGTGTTTACACTATACATAGTTAGGAGTAGGTACAGAAACCAGAATTACAAACCCATCTGCAGCCAGTCTGTGTTTACACTATACATAGTTAGGAGTAGTCACAGGAACCAGAAATACAAACCCATCTGCAGCCAGTTTGTGTTTACACTATATATAGTTAGGAGTAGGTACAGAAACCAGAATTACAAACCCATCTGCAGCCAGTCTGTGTTTACACTATATATAGTTAGGAGTAGTCACAGGAACCAGAATTACATCAGCACTATTGCATCACATCAAAAGAAAGAATTGTTTCATTTGAATACTGTATAAGATCACTGCTTTCTGTCGAGGGAATTTGAGATCTAAATAAAGCTCTACCATGGTTAAATTCTGTTTCCCTAAGTCTATAATCTACCTGGTGAATTGATGATGTATTTTCTTTATTTTCCAGGATTAAACAAGTTCAAAAAAAGGAAATTCCACAATACAGTAAATCTGCTGACAGGCCAAACTGATGTGCATCCTGACCTCATCCAGGTAGTAACAGACACTTCTAGAAACTATTTTCAGTGACTAGATACTGATGCCTCTGTGATATTTCAGATACATGCTTTAGATATATTCAGAAGAAAAAAAGTTTGTATCATAATGTCCTTGTAAGTTCTTGTCAGTTTGAAAAGCATCTTTTAAAACAAAAATACAAGGTATGAAATAAACACACCGAGCTGTGTTATAAACACATTGTACAGCATCCTCCCCAGACATTAGAACCTCGTACAGCACCGATCTGTGTTATAAACACATTGTACAGCATGCTCCCCAGACGTTAGAACCTCGTACATCACCAAGCTGTGTTATAAACACATTGTACAGCATTCTCCCCAGACATTAGAACCTCGTGCAGCACCAAGCCGGGTTATAAACACATTGTACAGCATTCTCCCAAGACTTTAGAACCTCGTACAGCACCAAGCTGTGTTATAAACACATTGTACAGCATTCTCCCCAGACTTTAGAACCTTGTGCAGCACCAAGCTGTGTTATAAACACATTGTACAGCATTCTCCCCAGACATTAGAACCTTGTACAGCACCAAGTTGTATTATAAACACATTGTACAGCATTCTCCCCAGACTTTAGAACCTCGTGCAGCACCAAGCTGTGTTATAAACACATTGTACAGCATTCTCCCTAGACGTTAGAACCTCGTACAGCACCAAGCTGTGATATAAACACATTGTTCAGCATTGTCCCCAGACATTAGAACCTTGTACATCACCATGCTGTGTTATAAACACATGATATAGCTTCTGTCCTACTGTCAACTCCCATCCTGACAGTCAATCTGCTGGATGACCAGTCCCCCTTGATGCAGGGTTCTATCCAGTGCAATCAAGGACTGTAAGTTATTAATTAATAAGATGTTTGAAACGATAGGATATGATGTTGTGACATTGAAGATTTAATACAGTGATGTCATGATGCTAGAGCTCTGATTTAGGGATGACATGACATGATATTTAATTTAGGGATGTCACGACATGACATTTAATTTAGGGATATTACGACATGACATTTAATTTAGGGATATCACGACATGACATTTAATTTAGGGATATCACGACATGATATTTAATTTAGGGATATCACGACATGACATTTAATTTAGGGATGTCACGACATGATATTTAATTTAGGGATATCACGACATGACATTTAATTTAGAGATATCACGACATGACATTTAATTTAGGGATATCACGACATGATATTTAATTTAGGGATATCACGACATGACATTTAATTTAGGGATATCACGACATGATATTTAATTTAGGGATATCACGACATGACATTTAATTTAGGGATATCACGACATGATATTTAATTTAGGGATATCACGACATGACATTTAATTTAGGGATGTCACGACATGATATTTAATTTAGGGATATCACGACATGACATTTAATTTAGGGATGTCACGACATGATATTTAATTTAGGGATATCACGACATGACATTTAATTTAGGGATGTCACGACATGATATTTAATTTAGGGATATCACAACATGACATTTAATTTAGGGATATCACATCATGATATTTAATTTAGGGATATCACGACATGACATTTAATTTAGGGATATCACGACATGATATTTAATTTAGGGATATCACGACATGATATTTAATTTAGGGATATCACGACATGACATTTAATTTAGGGATGTCACGACATGACATTTAATTTAGGGATGTCATGTCATTACAGGGTTTATTTAAGGTTTTCATGACAATAGTTATTTAATAATTTTGGGCTTCATAACACCAGAGGTCTGATTTAGGGATGTACACATTAAAGGTTTCATTAAGTGATTTCATGATGAACTTTCTGACTATGGGTTTATGATAACATGCTGGTATTGTTTCAACCATTGTTTTGTGAATCTAGTATCGTAAGTTTCCACTGTAAAAACAAAATGGACAAGTCTTAATTTTGATTATTTCAGTTCACATGTTCCAAACTTTAATAAAATCATAGAAGTTATAGTACGTACCTACCGCAATTTTTGGAGAAACTAGCTATCTGGTGTAGAAATCCTTTCTATTGAGTAATTTTGCATGTTATGTTTGTAGAAAAATTCATCATACGAAATCCTGTCGCACTGGCATCCCAACCTGACAATCAATTTGCTAGATGACCACTCTCCCTGGATGCGGGGTTCCATCCCGGCCCCTCTCAATGACTGTAAGTTTACCTGAAGGGTCACAATGATCAATAGCCATCGTGCTTCGTCCGTCGTCATCCTTAGTGCACCATGCATAAACTTTTGACATTTCAAACTTCCCAAGTTCCACCAGTGGGATTAAGCTCAAACTTGCTTGAAGTGATCCGAGATGATCCTGACCAAGTGTTGATATTTTTCAGGTCAGTTTGAAATCCAAGATGGCCACCATCTTGAAAAACATATTTTAACTTTCTTTTCAAGTTTCAATGGTGCCATTGAGCTAAAAATTGGTGTTAAGGAAAAGCAGCCAACAAAGTGTTCTTATTTTTCAACCTTGTCAAAACTTCAGTACGGCAGCCAGGGAGGCCATTTTGTAACATGATTGCACAATCATGGTCTTCCTGTGCAACACCTATTTCAAACTTTCTTTAAGATTCATCAGTTGAATTGAGCTCCAACTTTACTGTCAAATAATAGGTAACACTTGTTACATTTACCTATTCCTCACCAAAACTACCATCTGCATCATGGAAAACAGAAAGATTTCATTCAAAGTAGGAAAAATAACCTTTGTCCCTGCTGAAAGTTTTTGTAGCCAGATGACCGTAAAGACCCATGGACCTCTTGTTAGGTTACCTGAGACAAAGTCTCATGGTGACCTATTCTAATACCCTTCATCCGGTGTCGTGTGTAGTGCATTGTGCATTGTGCATCCATTAACAATTTAAAACTTTTGACTTCTTTTCAAAAAAATTTTGAAGAAACCTTCCCTGGCCTAAAATGAACCAAAATTGTGAATTATACAGTCCCCACTCCCTAGGGGCCAAAAGGGGTCATATTGACTTTAATTTCAAAAATCTTCTTCACAAGACCCAGATATGGTGTAATCAAATGATCTTCAGGAATGGAAGTATCTTAAGGTACTTTAATTACCAAAGTGAGTTTCACATTTCTTCCTTGGGAAGAGTATATTTTTTAGACTTTACTGTAATTTTCTTAGAAAAATTGTATTTTTGAGCATAACATTGATTATTTCCCACTGGAAATAACTTTATAAGAATTATCAGTATAGAATGACAGTTTAGATTGAATGCATGTATTGACACTGTTTATATTCAGTGTCACAATTTCTGTTTCATGACACTTGATAACTATCCTTAAACCGTTATATTCAATATTGCTTATCTCAGGTGACAGTCAATGCCGCTATAATGTGTTTCAAATGATTAGAGATGATGTTATGAAACTTAAGCGTGCGAGAGCTCTGATTTAGGGATGTTTGGTCACTAAATAATTTGATTTAATGTTGTCATGACACTTGATATATGATTTAAGGGCTTCATTACATTAAATGATTGATTTAGGGATATCATGACACTTAATGATTGATTTAGGGATATCATGACACTAAATGTTTGATTTAGGGATATCATGACACTTAATGATTGATTAAGGGATGTCATGACACTAAATGTTTGATTTAGGGATATCATGACACTAAATGTTTGATTTAGGGATATCATGACACTTAATGATTGATTAAGGGATGTCATGACACTAAATGTTTGATTTAGGGATGTCATGACATAAGAGGGTTGATTTAGGGATGTCATGACATAAGAGGGATGTACCTCGCTGTATCGTTGAGTATCATTCAAAATCAGTGTTATATATTTACCTTATAGTATCATAACATCAAGTTCTAAACCTTATCTTATTAGCTCATCAGTCAAAAATTCAAAGGGTTGAAATTCACTGGTAGGAGAGACATACATATGTTACAGAAATTTCCTAATTTTCTTTACAGTTGTAGAATTTGTCCCAGGAACCAATAAATACTTCCCAGTACTTTACTTCAATCAATACTGGAATCTCAACACTGACTACCAACCCATCAACAGCTCTGTCAAGTAAGTTTCATATCATTTCTCATCTGAACTGAATGAGAATGGGAACAAGCTTAACTGAACAAAAATGGGAACACATTGAACTGTACGAGAATGGGAACGCTTACAAAAATTGAATTACAGGTCTTTTTTTTTCATTTCAATTACTTAGTTTGAAATGTTTTGTGTGTATAAGAAGTCACTTTGCCAAATATGACATTTGGAGTATGCAATGAACTTACCTGTAGATACTTTTAAGTTCAGTTAGTAATAGAGTGAGTGTTTCTGTAGCAAACTCCAACCAGCTTCCTTTTAGATTTTGAGAATTTTGACATTCATTTGAAATGTTCTAGAATCTTTTTTAATGCTCCCCTGAAAATGTTCATGGAGCATGTAGTTACCACTTCATTCATCTGTACTTTTGTGTCTGAAGCTTAACTTTGCCCATAGTTAAGCAAAAAATCAAGAGACTTGGTTTATGCATTGGTCATACTAAGACAATGTGCAGTGTACCAAATCCAGTGCCAGCAGCCCCTTAATTACAGGGTTATTATCCTTAGTATAAGTTTGGTTGCCCTCAAAGTAGGATAATTAGCAATGTGTAGTGTACCAAAGTCGAGTCCTGCAACCTGTCAACTGGGTCCAGAGCTTAACTTAGCTTGCATTTAAACTAAGGTAATGAAATTTGGTATGTATATGTCATATTAAGGCAACATACAGTGTACCAAATTCAGGGCCATCAACCCCTTAATTGAAGTTATTGCCCTTCGTTAAAATGTCAAGTCTGGAGCATAACATTGCTTTCATTTAAATTAGGATATTAAAACTTAGTACGAATATTTGTCATACTAAGACAATATGCAGTGCACAAATTCAGGGCCCATAACCCCTTAATGACATAATCATTACCCACTGTTTCCAATACATTTGTTTTCAGATAGCATTCATTATTTTTACTGATATTCTTGATTGGTACTTTGACTCATCAGGGTGCTGAACTTGACCTTGACCTACACACCAATCTCACTCCTGCGTTGGCAGATGTACGCTGCCCAGGGAATGAGGAGTAAATGGTATGCCAATCTAGGGATGGATTTTATAGAGGACAACGATGATGACCAGGATACCATCAAGGTGAGGGCAAAACTGCATCAGTGCTTTATATTCAACATGGCATTGAGGTCAAAACTCATGTTTCAAACATCAAAGAAATCATCCTATTGCGTGTATTTATGGAACATTTTCTTCAGGTTGGTAATGTCAATAGAAAGGATAAGGAATCTATAATCCTATGTACACTAAGGTGACGAAATGGATAACAGATTGTAGACCAAAACAATACTCCAGATTGTACTGTAGTCAATTCATCAAGCTTTGTTTAACCCTGGTCATTGATGTGCGAGAGTCTGTGGCCCCCCCCCCTTGTCCCTATTAAGTACTGACCCACCATGAATTTAATGTAAGCAAAAAGACTAAAAGACAAAATACCAAGGAAAAGAACAAAATGAAAGAACAACAGGTAGTCATCCTTTACATCAAAGGCCTGTCACCTTACATCAATGGCCTGTCACCTTACATCAAAGGCCTGTCACCTCACAACAAAGGCCTGTCACCTTACATCAAAGGCCTGTCACCATACATCAAAGGTCTGTCACCTTACATCAAAGGCCTGTCACCTTACATCAAAGGCCTGTCACCTTACATCAAAGGCCTGTCACCTTACATCAAAGGCCTGTCAGAAACCATTCAGAGGATTTACTGTGGTCAATGGCATTGCAGCAGCCATGAAACCTCATAAGATCCTCCGAAATATCCTAGTCCACCATAAGGATAATACACCCAAAGAAAATGTCGCAGAATGCGCATACATAATAGGATGCAAGAACTGCGATACATCTTACTTCGGAGAAATAGGCAGGAGATTAAGGGTCCGACTCTTTGAACATCAAAAAGATGCGGAGTCCCAAGAAGGTAAAAACACAGAGATCTAGATCAAAGCAAAAACATTCACAGTCCACGATCAATAAATCTGCACTTACAGATCATTCCACACAGCAAAATGACATCATTGACTTGGAAAATTCCTAAATAGTTAACAGGGAAAACAACCTTTACAGACAATTGGTTGAGGAAGTCATCTGGATACGCCACAGCGGGCCAGTACTTAATAGGGATGAGGAGGGCTGCAGACTTTCCCACATCTGTGACCAAGTGTTCAACAAAGTGTAGCTGAATAGACTACAGTACATCGTTACCATCTGGTGTATTGTTTTAGTCTATAATCTGTTTACCATCTCGTCACACTATTTTCGACCTTAGTGTACATTTGTCTGTTGAAGGTGACTGTGTAGTCAACCAAATGTCACATTCTAATCTTTTACTGGTTGTATTATAAGAAATTCTATTCTATAACATGTCACCTTATTTAGAATTACCTTAAATTTGCGGGTATAGTGCGCACTCTGGTAAAGTGCGCAGGTACTTTTTTGGCATCAGATTAAAAAAAAAAAAAAGAGGTAATCCAATATGGCAGACGCAGACCTCGGGAATGATAACCCCAAGAATGGCATGTTCCTGCGTATAATGCGCACCCCCTTTTTGACACAACAGTTTTAGCTTGAAAAAGTGAGCACTATACGCAGAAATTTATGGTAATCATACATAGTACTGACCTTTGTGTCTATTTCAGACGGCTTTCCTGGAGACAAACCCATACCTGTTAGCACTCACCATTGTCATTTCTATAGTACATAGTGTATTTGAATTCCTTGCCTTTAAAAATGGTAAGTTGACTCTACCTCAACAAATCTGTATAGCAGTTTATGTGTGATTTCTGTCACAGCATATTGCAATTTCATGTTTTGATAAATTCTTGATAAACTTTTATTTGCAAACTGGTACTAATACAAAATAATACATCTCCTGAAATATGAAGGGAAAAGATGACTAATCTGAGTGCCAAGACTGTAAATATTTTGTAACGCATAATCTTGTCAATTAAGGAAAGCAAAATATTATAGAAAAATCAGACTTTCTGGCGTATAGAAGTTATGCATATTAAAAAACTTTTTATTCCATTTACAACAAGTGTGAAACAAGTTAAATCATTTTCAATGATTACAGAGTATGGAGAACTGTGGTTATGATTTGTAATAAAACATATATATTCCTACCTATACACAAGTTTGGGAAAATACATAAGAATTCTAAATATTGCTTATTACTTAAGGCAGTAATTATGCATTGGTTTTTAATTATTGTTATGTAAAATGACATGATAAATTAGCCATGTTTTCTGTCATTCAAATCTGATAGTTATCTAGTTCGTTGCACTGAAAGTCATAATTAATCAGTTATAATGGTCGAGTGGAAGCCGAGAAATTTTTCGTTATGAATTGTGAAAATAAAAAGTTGGTCAGGTTGAGTAATACTGCTAAGATATTTCCACTCTGATAACCTTATCTATTGACATATTGTTCTACATGGCTACAAATCTGTCCAGAACAGGTCTATCAGTGGACTTGTCTGTGGTGACTACATGGCTACAAATCTGTCCAGAACAGGTCTATCAGTGGACTTGTCTGTGGTTACTACATGGCTACAAATCTGTCCAGAACAGGTCTATCAGTTGACTTGTCTGTGGTTACTACATGGCTACAAATCTGTCCAGAACAGGTCTATCAGTGGACTTGTCTGTGGTGACTACATGGCTACAAATCTGTCTAGAACAGGTCTATCAGTTGACTTGTCTGTGGTGACTATATGTTATTGGGAGATATGGACTCACTGTCTAATAGATATTGAAGTGCATTTTGAAAATTACACTGAGATTTTTAGCAAACATAAACACATTGAAATAGTCCTATATATTCTTTGAAGTTACTTTTAATGTTTGGAAGATGTTTCTCTTGAACTTTGTTTTTCTTATTCAGATATCCAGTTTTGGCTACAAAGTCCCAGAGGGTCTCTCTGTGCAGTGGACTCTGTTTTCTCCAGAACAGGTCTATCAGTTGGTTGTCGGTATGTGACTCGACATGGCTACAAATCTGTAGGTCTATCAGTGGAGTTGGACTACATGGCTACAAATCTGTCTAGAAAATACACAAGGTTGTCTATCAGTTGACTTTCTGTGGTGATATATACATATTGGGAGAGACAGGTAACACTCACTGTCAATTAGATATTGAAGTGCATTTTGAAAATTACACTGAGATTTTTAGCAAACATAAACACATTGAAATAGTCCAATATATTCTTTGAAGTTACTTTTAATGTTTGGAAGATGTTTCTCTTGAACTTTGTTTTTCTTATTCAGATATCCAGTTTTGGAAGAACCGAAAGTCCCTGGAGGGTCTCTCTGTGCGCTCTGTTTTCTTCAACGTGTTCCAGTCACTGATTGTTGTACTCTATGTCCTCGACAATGAGACAAACTTTATGGTGCAACTCAGTGTTATAGTTGGACTAGGTATCGAGATCTGGAAAATACACAAGGTTGTCAATGTGAAGGTAAAAATGCTTTCAGAGTGACTCCTAAGATGATGATACATATAACTTAACTAGACAGGTAACACGCAACTGCAATTTGGTCACCCACATTACTGTTAAAAGTTACTATTGGTCACCCACATTACTGTTAAAAGTTACTATTGGTCACCCACATTACTGTTGTAGGTTACTGTTGGTCACCCACATTACTGTTGTAGGTTACTGTTGGTCACCCACATTACTGTTGAAGGTTACTGTTGGTCACCCACATTACTGTTGTAGGTTACTGTTGGTCACCCACATTACTGTTGAAGGATACTGTTGGTCACCCACAGTACTGTTGTAGGCTACTGTTGGTCACCCACAGTACTGTTGTAGGTTACTGTTGGTCATCCACAGTATTGTTGTAGGTTACTTTGGGTCACCCACAGCACTGTTGTAGGTTACTTTGGGTCACCCACAGTACTGTTGTAGGTTACTTTGGGTCACCCACAGCACTGTTGTAGGTTACTTTGGGTCACCCACAGTAATGTTGTGGGTTACTTTGTGTCACCCACATTACTGTTGAAGGTTACTGTTGGTCACCCACAGTACTGTTGTAGGTTACTGTTGGTCACCCAGAGTACTGTTGTAGGTTACTGTTGGTCACCCACAGTACTGTTGTAGGTTACTGTTGGTCACCCACAATTCTGTTGGTCACCCACAGTACTGTTGAAGGTTACTGTTGGTCACCCACAGTACTGTTGAAGGTTACTGTTGGTCACCCAGAGTACTGTTGTAGGTTACTGTTGGTCACCCACAGTACTGTTGTAGGTTACTGTTGGTCACCCACAGTACTGTTGTAGGTTACTGTTGGTTTGTTGGTCACCCACAGTACTGTTGAAGGTTACTGTTGGTCACCCAGAGTACTGTTGTAGGTTACTGTTGGTCACCCAGAGTACTGTTGTAGGTTACTGTTGGTCACCCACAGTACTTTTGTAGGTTACTGTTGGTCACCCACAGTACTGTTGTAGGTTACTGTTGGTCACCCACAGTACTGTTGATGGTTACTGTTGGTCACCCACAGTACTGTTGTAGGTTACTGTTGGTCACCCACAGTACTGTTGAAGGTTACTGTTGGTCACCCACAGTACTGTTGTAGGTTACTGTTGGTCACCCACATTACTGTTGTAGGTTACTGTTGGTCACCCACATTACTGTTGAAGGATACTGTTGGTCACCCACAGTACTGTTGTAGGCTACTGTTGGTCACCCACAGTACTGTTGTAGGTTACTGTTGGTCATCCACAGTATTGTTGTAGGTTACTTTGGGTCACCCACAGCACTGTTGTAGGTTACTTTGGGTCACCCACAGTACTGTTGAAGGTTACTGTTGGTCACCCACATTACTGTTGTAGGTTACTTTTGGTCACTCACATTACTGTTGTAGGTTACTGTTGGTCACCCACATTACTGTTGAAGGATACTGTTGGTCACCCACAGTACTGTTGTAGGCTACTGTTGGTCACCCACAGTACTGTTGTAGGTTACTGTTGGTCACTCACATTACTGTTGGAGGTTACTGTTGGTCACCCACAGTACTGTTGTAGGTTTCTGTTGGTCACTCACAATACTGTTGTAGGTTACTGTTGGTCACTCACAGTACTGTTGTATGTTACTGTTGGTCACCCACAGTACTGTTATAGGTTACTGTTGGTCACCCACAGTACTGTTGGTCACCCATATTACTGTTGTAGGTTACTGTTGGTCACCCACAGTACTGTTGAACGTTACTGTTGGTCACCCACAGTACTGTTGAAGGTTACTTTTAGTCACTCTCATGTACTTTTGAAGGCCACTACATCTGTCTTTGTTGTCTTTTTTTGTTGCAACCTTGTAGGAAAACATTTTGTGCCATGACATTGGGTTATGAAGCCTTACTTTAGCATGAAAAATATACATACATTACATATATATGGCTTTGACCTAGATTTAGACATGAACAGAAAAATGATGTTGTAGTATGTGGCATTGACCAGATAAAAAGAAATGATAGACCTTTCTGTATTCAAGAACACATTTGTTGATTTTGTTATTTTGAGTTCTATAAAAAAGCTTGCAAACAGGTTATATTTGACCAATATGTTAATCGCATGGATGAAAAACTGGGTATCTTTGAATCAAAGTCGTTAAACTCGCCAATTTAATATGAAAAACTGAATATACACATAATTCAATGTTTGATACAATGCTGAAGAATTTTGATGTTTTAGCCAGTAGTTTGAGGAATAAAACTGGAGTGTGCTACAAATAAACTGGTTTTCAAATAGCTTTTACACAGCTGTATTGTTATCTTTTCCAGGTGGACAGAGAAAACCTTATCATGGGAGTTATACCACGTCTTTCATTTGATGATAAATCAACTTATACAGAATCTCAAACAAAGAAATATGACACGGTGAGTTCGTGTAATCTACTTATATTATTCATCTTTTCTTCTGAATCGTGATTTCTCATTGGACGAACATGAAAAATAGTTGTAATGTTTATTACGTGGAATCTGGCTCCTTTGTCTTATGTGGACAGAACTTAACCAGAGGGTCAGACTTTGCTGAGTGCTAAACTTTGAAATCTTTAGAGGGTTAAGATACCACTGTCTACATCAAATAGAAGTGATTGATTCCTCATGAAGCTGTTGTTGTCAACTGGTCATTGCACTGTCATTTATATGTGTCAGACTGGATGACTTCATCCAAAAGGGAAGAGCATAGTTATCTTTCCTTATTGAAAACAAAAGTGTGGCAGAAAAAGCATTCCCACATAATCACCTAAGGAATGAAATGATTCGGTTTGAAATTCTTCCAATAAGTGTTCAGATGACTGTGATCAAACTGTGGGATTTTTAAATTACTCTTTGTTCATGGTCTGTTGTCCTGCTTCAAACAACCCTTGTTATCATTATTTCTGTAGAAGATCACTATTTCTGTAGAAGTACGAAAGGGATATTTCTCAAACTTCATCTGTGGTTTCCCCTTTTACAGTGCCCATGCAATTTTTTAATCTGTTCAGGGAATCAAAATAGCAGACAGGCGGCCTTCAGGGATTTTGAGTGTTGAAGTTTGTTATCGCTTTAGAACTATTGGAAAGATATTTTTCACAAATAATGTGTATTTTCCCCCATGGTCTGTAGTTGTGCCCATTTAATTTTGAAATTGATCATTGAATCAAAATGGCCAACAGCTGCAGGTAGCCATTTTGGATGTTGACAGTTGAAGCCTATTATAGCTATTTCCTACAAAATACTCCAGTGTATATTCCCCATGGTCTCTTGTATTTTTGAGACTGATTATTGAAATGGAATGGCCAACAAGGAGCCATTTTCGATTTTTACAAAGTTTGTTATCACTCTGTCTTGAGAAGTACTAGGAAGATATTTCTGGAACTTGTTTTGCAGGTTTCCCTTGATTCCAAGTTGTGCCAATTTATTTCAATTTTGTGTCTGCTCAAGAAAGAAAAATCACTGACTGGAAACCATCTTGGGTTTTGACGTTTGAAGTTTGTTTTCAATTTCTCAGCAAGTTGTTATTAGATCTCTCTTAGGTCTCAAATGTAGGATTTCCTTGTTTTCAAATTATTAAGAGAGAAAGGCAAAAGAAAGGAAAAGTAGAAAAATGGTTATTTCTACCAAGAAAGGTCATTCAGTGGTGAGTGCTAGGATACCTCCCTTGTTTGGAAAAAACCAATTGTGTTTGAATGATTTACATGATCTGTGCCAAGTTCCCTATAGGATGTTACTGTTTTTCTCTTTCAGATGGCTTTTAAATACTTGTCCTGGGTTCTCTTTCCACTATTGGGTTGCTACGCAGTGTACAGTCTATTCTACCAAGAACACAAGGGCTGGTACTCCTGGATACTTTCCATGATGTATGGATTCCTTCTCACATTTGGTAAGTCTGTAGATAAAAGGGATCTTTCCATAGCATAATGGTTGTACAAAGACACCTCTACCTGAGGAGCAGGTTCTTGGCTGTGCTTCACTTAACTTAAGCACAGAGAAATTTCTACGGAAGGGGGAAATTCTTGACTGTCTCACCCAAGGTTTTCCTGAGCCTAAGGGTAGGAAAGTCTACACCTTGTTTCTTGACTATCTTACCCAAGGCTTTCCTGAGCCTAAGGGTAAGAAATTCTACACCTTGTTTCTTGACTGTCTTACCCAAGGCTTTCCTGAGCCTAAGGGTAGGAAAGTCTACACCTTGTTTCTTGACTGTCTTACCCAAGGCTTTCCTGAGCCTAAGGGTAGGAAAGTCTACACCTTGTTTCTTGACTGTCTTGCCCAAGGCTTTGAAGTAATTGTCTATCTGTGCATTGATCAATTGGTTATCACCTTGAAGGTTAACCATTTCCTTTGGCTGTTTAGCAGCAATAACTACTCTGAATGTTAAAGCTGACAATGCAAGTATAAAAAAAAATCAATTTTGAGATATAACTTAAAAGTTTTCTTTTCGTAATACTTGGAATATGACCGCTGTGATAAGGACATCTTCCAGTCAACATATCTAACAAAGTGGTCGACCCTTGCTTGGAAACAAGTATGGGCATCCCTGGGTATGAAAGGGTAAAACCAGTTATCATTTCAACATTGACTGCCCAAAGTGAAACTCACTTGATATATGATGATAACCTATATCATGATAACACATACGCTAGACCCAAAAGGAGTTGCATTCACCTGAGAACCTTGAAGTTACATGAAGATGATCAGTACTTCTCAGCTATCCATAAATATATTTTATAAAGTATAATAAAACTGAAAAGCAAGCAAACTCCCTATAGTCTATCACATATATCCTGAAACACTTGCATGTGTACTAAACACTAGACACGACCAATTTTACTCAGTTACCAAAGCACTTGGAAAATGCTATGTTACATATGAGTATTTGTTTTGTTTTCTCAATCTAGACTGTTTAAATAATTGGCTAGTAAAACACGTGCAAAGTGGTGACCTCAGAAGTGGGTCTCAGAAGCATTCTAACAAATATTTTTTATCTCACCATGGAAATTCTTGCATTGTCATATTACATGTATGTGATAAAGTTGTTCATATGCATCTAGTGAAAATTGATTTATGAGCATGCAGTGTCCATAGTGGACTTTTATTTAAAACATTACATATCTATGTTTGTCTGTTATGAAAGATGAATGGAACAGATGGTTCTGAAACAAAACAAAACAATATTTTAAATTCTTCAAAACTGATTTTAACAGGTTTTATCATGATGACTCCGCAACTGTTTATCAACTATAAACTCAAGTCTGTTGCTCATCTTCCATGGAGGATGATGACCTACAAAGCACTCAACACTTTCATAGATGATATATTTGCATTTGTGATCAAAATGCCTACACTATATCGTATAGGCTGCTTCAGAGATGGTAAGCATATTTTAGTCATTATTTCTCTTGTATACAATCTCTATTTCTTCACATTGTTTGGATACATTCTTCAAAATTAGGTTTTTCGTCACTTGTAAATATTGGAAATAATCAGTAGCTAATTAGTTTATCACTTGAAAACCAAAGAAGCCTATTAGGCTAACATAGTTAAACTTTTTATTCATTTCCTGTTTTGTATATTTTACCTGGCAGTCAGCACTAGATTACCTGTTGATATTATTATATATTTTACCTGGCAGTCAGCACTAGATTACCTGTTGATATTATTATATATTTTACCTGGCAGTCACCACTAGATTACCTGTTGATATTATTATATATTTTACCTGGCAGTCAGCACTAGATTACCTGTTGATATTATTATATATTTTACCTGGCAGTCAGCACTAGATTACCTGTTGATATTATTATATATTTTACCTGGCAGTCAGCACTAGATTACCTGTTGATATTATTATATATTTTACCTGGCAGTCACCACTAGATTACCTGTTGATATTATTATATATTTTACCTGGCAGTCAGCACTAGATTACCTGTTGATATTATTATATATTTTACCTGGCAGTCAGCACTAGATTACCTGTTGATATTATTATATATTTTACCTGGCAGTCAGCACTAGATTACCTGTTGATATTATTATATATTTTACCGCACTAGATTACCTGTTGATATTATTACCTGTTGATATTATTATATATTTTACCTGGCAGTCACCACTAGATTACCTGTTGATATTATTATATATTTTACCTGGTACCTGTTGATATTATTATATATTACCTGTTATATATTTTACCTGGCAGTCAGCACTAGATTACCTGTTGATATTATTATATATTTTACCTGGCAGTCAGCACTAGATTACCTGTTGATATTATTATATATTTTACCTGGCAGTCACCACTAGATTACCTGTTGATATTATTATATATTTTACCTGGCAGTCACCACTAGATTACCTGTTGATATTATTATATATTTTACCTGGCAGTCACCACTAGATTACCTGTTGATATTATTATATATTTTACCTGGCAGTCACCACTAGATTACCTGTTGATATTATTATATATTTTACCTGGCAGTCACCACTAGATTACCTGTTGATATTATTATATATTTTACCTGGCAGTCACCACTAGATTACCTGTTGATATTATTATATATTTTACCTGGCAGTCACCACTAGATTATTATTATATATTTTACCTGGCAGTCACCACTAGATTACCTGTTGATATTATTATATATTTTACCTGGCAGTCACCACTACCTGTTGATTACCTGTTGACCTGTTGATATTATTATATATTTTACCTGGCAGTCAGCACTAGATTACCTGTTGATATTATTATATATTTTATTACCTGTTGATATTATTATATATTTTACCTGGCAGTCAGCACTAGATTACCTGTTGATATTATTATATATTTTACCTGGCAGTCAGCACTAGATTACCTGTTGATATTATTATATATTTTACCTGGCAGTCAGCACTAGATTACCTGTTGATATTATTAATGTTTTACCTGGCAGTCAGCACTAGATTACCTGTTGATATTATTATATATTTTACCTGGCAGTCACCACTAGATTACCTGTTGATATTATTATATATTTTACCTGGCAGTCACCACTAGATTACCTGTTGATATTATTATATATTTTACCTGGCAGTCACCACTAGATTACCTGTTGATATTATTAATGTTTTACCTGGCAGTCAGCACTAGATTACCTGTTGATATTATTATATATTTTACCTGGCAGTCAGCACTAGATTACCTGTTGATATTATTATATATTTTACCTCACCACTAGATTACCTGTTGATATTATTATATATTTTACCTGGCAGTCAGCACTACCTGTTGATATTATTATATATTTTACCTGTTGATATTATTATTATATATTTTACCTGATTACCTGTTGATATTATTATATATTTTAGCAGTCAGCACTAGATTACCTGTTGATATTATTATATATTTTACCTGCCAGCCACCACTAGATTACCTGTTGATATTATTATTATACTTTACAAATGAACATGGATGGGGGATCTTGATAACTATGTCCCTGTTGATGCCTGGTACTGTGTGTTAAACCGTTACAAGTTATTGCTTTTTGTTGTGGCAATTGTTTACTCACTATCACACCATGCTGGTTTGATTTACTTGGTGATGGGTGTACCATAGGAAACAATTAAATAAATGTCCAAATATGGAGATAACTAATTAGCACTGTTATATACATACATACATACATGATTTGGAAGAATATCACTTCTTCTTAACCATGTAATCAGTCTCTGGAGAAGGTTTCAAATGAACATTTTTTATCATTTCAGATATTGTATTTTTTATTTTCCTGTACCAACGCTATATATACAGAATTGATCCGAAGCGTGTCAATGAATATGGAACAAGTCAAGAAATGTTCGATCAAAATGGGACTGCAATAACAAATGATCAAAATTCTGTTCCTAATGAGAAAGTTTGCCAATCAGAGACTGCCATTGGCCAGACAGAGGAGGAGGAAGAACATATAGCTGAACCTAAGTCAGAGCAGGAGAAGAAAAATGATTGATTTTAGCTATATACTCAGAAAGAAATCCAAAGTTCAAAATTAAAAAAAATATATACATGTATACAATCTCTACAAATATGTGATCTTGGAGTTTTAAGATAGTGTTGTATGTAGAAATGCCAAAGTTTTAAGATTTTAAGAATTTTTCTTTTTTGCCCTGGTTTCAGTTTCACTGGCTAAAAAGAGCCATGTGAGCTCATAATGTGGTGTGGCATTCAGCGTCTATAACCTTCCCATTCCATGTAGGATGGTTTCTTTGGATAAAGTCTGACAAAAAGGTCACAGGTCATTGTTAAATTTGTTAAAAGATTTAACAAAGAATTAACCTAGATTTAAGGTCATATGGAGTTCCACAGAAAGCAAGAACTCGAACAAGCTGATCGAAATACCAAGAATCATGGAAGTATATCTAGAAGCTAGATAGCAAACTATAGATAGAGAAATATCTGACTTACTCAGATACTTTATTGTCAAAAGAGAACTGTCTGACTTACTCAGATACCTTCAATACTGAACTGTCTGATTTACTCAGATACCTTCAATATTGAACTGTCTGATTTACTGAGATACCTTCAATATTGAACTGTTTGGCTTACTGAGATACCTTCAATATTGAACTGTTTGGCTTACTCAGGTACTTAATTGTTAATAGTGGCCTGTCTTACTCTGATATGTAATTTTTAGTTTACCAGCTCAAAATGCTGGAAGAGCTGCTAAAAATATATTTAAGATCACAGAGGTCAAATTTATTACAACACTACTTTCATAACTTGATATACTTAATGTTATAGAAATATGTTTAGTCTTGCTGTTTAGTACTACAGGGCCTATAATCCCCTGCCCATTGAAGGATATTCAAATTCCGCAAAGTAAAGTTTGTTCTTGAGAAGTACACAAACTCTCTCAAATCTCCTTTGTAGGTTCCCCTTTGTCACTAGTTGTGCCCGTTTGACTTTAGGTCTGGTCAGAAAAATAAAATTGCCAACAGGTTGCCATTTTGGATTCTGTGTAATAAAGTTTGTTATCACTATTTCTTGAAAAGTACTCGATGGATCTCTCTAAGAAAAACAAAATGGCCGACAGATGGTCATCTTGGATTTAGACTTTGAAAGTTGTTATTGTTATTTCTTGAAAAATACTGCATAGATCTTTCTCAAATTTCATGTGTAGGTTCCCCTTGATCCCTTCTTGTGCCTGTTTGATTTTGGAACTAATCTGAAAAAAAATTGCTTTCAGCTGAACATCATTGGATTTGGTAGTTAAAGATTATTATTGCTATTTCTGCAAAGGATTAATGTTCAAATTTCTTGAAAGAGAAAAGAAGGGAAAAGATCCAACATTTGAAGACTAAATAAAGATCCAAACAATTTTGGACAGCAAGATTGTGCTGGGATCTCTTATTGTTTTATCTAGAAATATCAGCCATTTTTGGTAGGATGTCTCCAGTAACATTGACTTGGTCTTCCGACTTGGTGAAGGGTCAGGATGACCAATAGACATCATGTTTTATCCACTGTTGTGGGGTTTTGTTGTTTTTATCCTAAGAATATCCAAACCAAGTGTTGTCACTTTTCTGGAATGATCCTTAGAATGTCCCAACCAAGTGTTACGACTTTCCTGGAATGATCCTTAGAATACCCCAACCAAGTGTTGTCACTTTTCTGGAATGATCCTTAGAATGTCCTGACCAAGTGTTGTCACTTTTCTGGAATGATCCTTAGAATGTCCCAACCAAGTGTTGTCACTTTTCTGGAATGATCCTTAGAATGTCCTGACCAAGTGTTGTCACTTTTCTGGAATGATCCTTAGAATGTCCCAACCAAGTGTTGTCACTTTTCTGGAATGATCCTTAGAATGTCCCAACCAAGTGTTGTCACTTTTCTGGAATGATCCTTAGAATGTCCTGACCAAGTGTTGTCACTTTTCTGGAATGATCCTTAGAATGTCCCAACCAAGTGTTGTCACTTTTCTGGAATGATCCTTAGGATGTCCTGACCAAGTGTTGTCACTTTTCTGGAATGATCCTTAGAATGTCCTGACCAAGTGTTGTCACTTTTCTGGAATGATCCTTAGAATGCCCCAACCAAGTGTTGTCACTTTTCTGGAATGATCCTTAGAATGTCCCAACCAAGTGTTGTTTCTTTCTTGGAATGATCCTTAGAATATCCTGACCAAGTGTTGTTTCTTTCTTGGAATGATCCTTAGAATGTCCCAACCAAGTGTTTGTTTGATTCTTGCACTGGTCTAGCAGCACCACTGAGCTGAATCCTGGTGGAATTGTTTGTCAACTGTAGACCACCATTTTAAGATAGCACCATCACCTTTACTTGAGAATTAGGTACATCTCAAACTTTTGAAGTTGTACTGTAAGCCATTTCTTGCTTGAAGTGTCTAATGCATCAATTCAACAAACCTATTTATTGAAAGTTATGTATGGCTGACACGGCAGTATTTTTTAGACATGATTAAGCAATCATCTGTTTTTTTGGAAAATGAAATATATTTTTGATAAATCGCTGGAGATGGTAGTACATAGTACATGGAATGTTTGAGTCAAGTGACCATTAAGGCCTGTGTGCCTCTAGTTTTCAGTGCAATATTATATGTGCTTTAATTTTTCAATGATCAAATTCATTAAAACATTTGTTTACAGTAGTGAGAGTGTTTGGGAAGCGGTATATACAGGTGATGAATTCCTGAAACTTTTTCAACTCTGAGTTCGATTCTGATCAAACATGTTTTATTTTCTATTGCTTAATTATTCAAGAATATTTCATGTTGTGTATTGTTAAAAACTTTTTTAAAAAAATGGTTACTCTACGATATTACTGTGCAGTATGTCAAGATAGATTCTAGTTCAAGTTAGTATACTTGCCTTAAAGTATAAGGTTAGATAATTTTGTATGTAATATGTAGGAAAACTTGGTGCTAGATGCTACTTTGCTGTTGGGTGAAATTTGATGTGCAGTGATACAAATGTACTCTGTTACCTCCAAATTTGACATGTACTTTATAACAATTTTATTTTATCACATGTACATTAAGTCATTTTGTGTCAAAACAATATCTTATTTCAGTCCTAGTTTTGCCATTGAAGAGCAGGCACTAAGATATACATGCATAAAATATATATTATTCTTCCTCGTTAAAAATTCTTGTTCATCAGGAATTGCAGGATATTGTCCAACTTTGATCTGAAGCATACGTGGATGAAGAGAAATCAGTTTTATATGAACCGTTGGTCTCAGCCCCATGGGGGCCAGAGGACAGGGCAAAATAGGGAAAATCTATTACTTTCTTTGAAATTTATCTTATTCTTTTAGAATTGCAGGATATTGTCCAGATTTGGTCAGAAGCATGCTTTGGTTTGGAGCATTTTTTGATGAAGAGAAATCAGTTATGCGTATTTTTAAGTTTCCGCCCTTTGGGATTGGAGGGACAAGGTCCAATAGGACTAATATCCTTCTTTTGTAGGAATACCTCGATGATGTTCTAATTTGGCCTGAAGCATGCTTAGGTGAAGAAGAATCAATTTTGTATAAAGAGTGGATCTCAGCTCAGTAGGGTGGTAGGGATAGGTCTAAGTATGGGAAATGGGACAAATTCTTCAAACGCAATCTTCCTTGTAGGAATTTCTGGATTCTCTCCCAATTTGGTTTCAGACATGATTGAATGAAAGGGATCAATTATGTTTGAATGGGTTCCGGCCTGATGGTGCAGGGCAAGATAATGGAAATAAAGCAAAGTCTTTCAAATCCTTCAATGTTGGAACTGAAGACATCCTTGGTAAAGAGAAATAGTTTTTTTTCAAACAGTACATCTAACACCATTTTGGAATTAGATACATGTGTTTTAAATATTTTTTTCTTTGTTAAAATAAATAAATTTCAGGAAACTAAACCAGGTGAATGATACAGGCCTTATGTGCCCCTTGTTAATTTTTATAAGTTGATTCTCCTTGGTCCCTTGTTGTGCCCTAATGATTTTACTGGTGGCCATCATGGATTTGACTGTTGAAAGTTATTCAGATTTCATAAAACAAAGAGCAAAACCAAAGAAAAGAGAAAAGAACTTTTTAAGACCAAATAAAGATCAAACAATATTGGGAGCAAAGATGCTTTAAGGATCTCATTTCATTTTTGACAATCAAATTTCAAAAAGCTAATCACCATTAAAATGAACATTGCTGTATACCTCTGTAATAGAAACACTGATGAAAATGTTTCTCTACGTTAATTTACAGGAAGGAGTCTAGTGAAGGGAATATTGTGTATGTATCGTAGATGTGTTATGCATTGTGTTATATAAACAGAATTATTACAATGATTCAATGTGCTTTTGTTATTTTTATTGGTCTTAAGGCAGACAAGAGAAGAATTTGGAGGATTTTATATCTCCCCATCGTTATGCATTACTGTGCATACACCTATAAAGATGGATATAAACATTTTGGGGGAGAATCTGTTTCAGTACAAGTAATCCACTGTAGACTTGTGTATAAATGAGCAATAGCATCAACAGAAATGTCAGACCTCTGCACATTACAATACCTGACTTTTTAAAGCATCATGTCATTTTGCCTGTCCGATTACCGTTTTGTGTCTAATTGGTGCTTAAAAGAAAGACAACAAAAAAAAATTCAAAACTGCTAATTTTTGTTAGTTTTGATCGATCGAGAAGTGAAGAAATTAGTAGTTTTATTGAGATGTACTTTTCTCTTACCTTGAACAGGTATATACACGCTTTTTTCCTAGGGCTGAAACAGACGTGACCCCCGTTTGTTTGACTTTTATAAAGTCACACACATACACTAGTTCCTTTGCTACTGAAAACTAGTGTTTTGCTTGAAACTGAAAGTCCTGTGTTATCAGGAAGATTGAAACTCCTCTTAGTCAACATCTTATTACTGAAATTATTCATAAAATATCAAGATTATATCTTTATTTAACGTTTTATTGGCATGGTCATTAGAAATATATTTAGTGAAAGATTACATCAAAAAACGTGAAGAGTCTTCTGCCACACAACACACTTGGTTTCGCACTAGACAATGAAGAGAAAAATAACCATTCATCCCTGTAAGGTTTGATATGGGAGAGGATTTTTCTTCTCTTATGCATCATGTATGGCGTCATAATGTCGTTACTAAGACATCATAATAAATGTATCGCCTGAAGATGACAGTTAGACCTGAAAACATTAGCAGAATACTTTTGTCGTGTTGACTTTATTCTTTTCAAATATCTTGTCGATACACAAAGCATCTTTAAGTTACATCTATGTTAACATTACAACAAGTTTAATTTCTATACGTTCATCTTCATTGTTTCATACTAAGTATTTAAATGGAGAACTTCTACTAGAGTACTAGCCTGATGCCTGTACAAAGTTTTGAGTACTAGGTAATTGCCTTAACTGGTATAATATAACTTGTCTGAAAAAACACTTAACTGTGTGATTTGGCCTATCTGTTTCCATGGTAACAGAAAAGGTATATAAATGGATAAATTCTCCATAGCAAAATATGCTACTAGCTTAATAGTGAAAAAAGTTATGAGCAATTACCTAGAACAGTTTCAGATAATTGAAATTTGTGATAAGGGTTTTCTGTTTCCATAGTAACAGAAAAAAAACTATGACACTAACCTAATATATAAAGAAAGTTTTGTGGAGTTGAGTGGAATGGTTTCAAAGTTAACATTAGTTTTGTGTTTTTGACTGTTTCCATGGTAACAGAAATTATGAAGAAATTAAATGTTGTCAATAGCAAAAGGCACAACTAAGGCACTAATTTAATATATGCAGAAAGTTTTGTGATGTTGAGTTGAACAGTTTTGCAGTTATAGCCCGGAGAAGGCCTCGGATGGAAAGTTTTGTGATGTTGAGTTGAACGGTTTTGCAGTTATAGCCCGGAGAAGGCCTCAGACGGACAGTTGGAGATGTAGTTGTGCGTATTTTGACATGTGACCTACAAAAATTACAAAAAGCACTTTTGTGGTGCACCTTTTAAAACTGTATATGTGAGGATATTGACCCAAATAAATACACGAGGTGCGCCCTGAATCACTTTTGTCGATACGCAGAAAAAAAAATACACCACGTCAATATGTGGAACAAATATTAAAATATATCACATGCACGAGTAATGCTTCCAATAAATGATAACTGACATTTTTTCCAACACAATATATTTTGATACTTTATATGTCTCATGATATAGTTTTCATGTGTCTTTGTTAAAAATATGGTGGATTATGGACAGGTCATTTTAGACTTCACAAACAGTTTGCAACAGCTGATGCTCACAATTAGGTACAAGTCATCCCAAACATCACGGATGAATCACCTCATATATTGCCAACCAGATGATTCACAGATATAACCACCGCCAACTTCCTGAATACAACAAAGTTTAAGCCCAAAATTACTGAAAAGTCATCTAGACGTCATGGATGAATCACTTCAGATATTGATAAACCGTACAAACCTCCTCGGATATTTCTGACTGTGAACTTCCTGAATACAACAGTGGTTGAAGCCCACAATTATGGACAAGTCTTCCAAGAATTTACGTATTAGGCTCAATATTGCTGAATGGACAAAAACACCTCAGATATTACTGTTATCATCATCATACAATATCACAGTCATCAAACATATAAATGAAGAAGTAAACTGGTTTTTGTAAAGAGTCAGTTTTTTAATCATGGTACAAAGAAAAAAACACTTAGTTTGAAGTTTCAATAATACAAAACAGGTTCAGAGTGTGATTATAAAGGTCAAATTACCTCATGAACATGCATAAACAAAGGCATTCTTACATAATTGTAAATTCAAATGTTTAACATAAACAAGAGACCCATGGGCCAAAGGTCATCTGACTACAAAACCTTACCCACGGTCAGATGATCTAAAAATGACAAAAATATAAAACTTACTTTTCCAGATCTGGACACCATAAAAGAATTTCAAAAAAGGTAGAGCTATTTGGTAGCAACCTAACCCATATATTAAATCTTCCAATTCTTCAAATCAAAATTTCAACACTGCATGATAGTGTCTTGACAAAAGAAAAGACCCAATGGTCTTAACAGTCACTTGAATTCCATGAACATTGTGTTGTGTTACATATATCACATAAAACATCTTGTTAACATAGTTAAATGTCATCCTATATTATGGATTCTAATAGAGTTTAAATCAAAGATAAAAAATCTTTATAAGTTTCCAACTTAATACTCCTTCCCAATGGAAAATGCAAGGATCATGAAATTCATAATTTGGGTTAAAGCATCTCAAAACCCTTCCATCTATGAAAAGTATTTGATTCTTCCATATCTGAGTGTTGAGGAGATTTTCGAAAATTTGATTCAATTCAACACCGCCCAAGTTCCCTAAATCGGAGACGTAATTCATTCATTTGGTATATCAATAATCATGATAATATCTACTAAATTTCATGAAAATTGGCTCAGGGGATTTCAAAAAGTAAATCATGTAAAATGTTTTACAATAGGTATGCAAAATGCAAGAAATTCTTTTCAACGTTTTACTATCTAGTATGAAATGCTGTTTAATTAAAGTAATAACTACCCTGCCAATGTTTTATAAACAGGAGGCCCACAGGCCTTAACAGTCATCTGAATATATAGACCTATATATGAAAAAGGACAAATAAGCCTGAAATAAACCACTCAACTACTCTACAGCTTACAAAGTAGATATTGTTGGTCATAAAAAACATTTTCTACAAATTTAAAATCATATTCTTTATACATGCTACTACACAAATGCCATTATTCCGAACCTATTGCTTATTGAAAAAAAATTAAGATCTCAACTCACTTAACCCAAGATATTTTGAATATAGGTCAAGGTCAACAATTTGAACAAAACAATGGTTCTTCATCAACTTACATTGAAAAACCAATATCAACAGCCTGGACGTTTTTGTTATTGACTAGAAGTCATTCAAAGATTTTAAGAAATTTGACCCCTGTGACCTTTAAAATATGAAAATATAAATAACATGAACATAATTGGTAACTCTACATTCCAGCATACTACAGGCCGGTTATCAGAACTTTGGGCTTTTTGTATATTGAGAAGAAATCATTTACATATTTTTAAACATTTTTCTCTGTGACCTTGAAAATTGGTCAAGGTAATTCATTTTATCAAGCATGCTACAGGCCCAATATCAGCACTCTATGTCTTTTGTTTACTAAGAAGTTGTTTAAAAGATTTTGACATATTTGACGCTTGTGACCTTGAAAGTAGGTGAAGGTCAATAATATAAACAACCTTGGTATTCCTTTGTCTCATTTGGCTACAAGCCTAATTTCAGCACCCTGGGCCTTTGCTTATTAAGAAAAAGTTATTTGAAACCATGACATATTTGACACCTATGACCTTGAAAGTGGATCAAGGTCATTCATATTAACAAACTTGGTAGCTCTTTATTCCATTCTGCTACCGGCCCTTGGCCTTTTGGTTATTGAGAAGTTATTTAATTGTAAAGCTTACTCATGGCAGACGGTGGACAACGACCGACGAAACATGATGGCTATAGGTCATCCTGACCCTTCTGTTCAGATGACTTAAAAACTTTCGACAATACAAACACAGAAAAATCACATGGCTCAAAATGGCACCTACAATGTCATGTGATGTTGTATCGTGTAAATCCTCATATTCATCCAGTTCAGCAGATGATGACTCCTGGATAAGGTCTGTAATAAAGAAATCTTATATCTATATATAATAACAGCCACATCAGTCATTCCATTTCTACTATGTTGTTTTAAACCAATATTGTTCAGATAGTCATTTACAGTTCTTTAGCAATGTGAACATATGTAAAAGATACTGGGGCTAGGTCATGACGGTAAGAAGCAATTACTAAGCCTGGTGAAAACAAAATAGTGTTTTAAGGTTATTCAGAAAAGAGGATGGTGGTCCAAGAAAGAATCAGTCATCATTAGAACTGATGTACTTTTCATTACTAAAATATTTCAATTGACACTTTTAGTATAGTAGTAATGATTCTCTGGTGTGTCAGAGCAGCAAACAATACTAGGACTCAAGATTGATGTACAGATTAAAAAAAGTTTTTGAAATATTCTTTGGATTAGTAAAAAATTTTATTTATAAGTTGAATTGAAGCACCATAAATCTGATCCATAGGAAACAAACCTATTTGGATGTCTTGAAGGGATTTGTCTGGAAACTCTCCCACACGGTCTTGTAGTTTCTGAGACATCATCATCAGTGCACCTTTAGCATAACAATGATGCACATATTTATGCCAAGTTTCATAGCAACTG